TATTAGCTGCTACCAATGTTTCACCAATATGTTGTTTTGGATTTTGTTTTGCTGTTCGGATCGTTAGTACTTGGTTTATTTATTCATTAGCTGCTACCAATGTTTCACCAATATGTTGTTTTGGATTGTGGGTTTTGTTTTGCTGTTCGGATCGTTAGTACTTGGTTTATTTATTCATTAGCTGCTACCAATGTTTCACCAATATGTTGTTTTGGATTGTGGGTTTTGTTTTGCTGTTCGGATCGTTAGTACTTGGTTTATTTATTCATTAGCTGCTACCAATGTTTCACCAATATGTTGTTTTGGATTGTGGGTTTTGTTTTGCTGTTTGGATCGTTAGTACTTGGTTTATTTATTCATTAGCTGCTACCAATGTTTCACCAATATGTTGTTTTAGATTGTGGGTTTTGTTTTGCTGTTCAGATCGTTAGTACTTGGTTTATTTATTCATTAGCTGCTACCAATGTTTCACCAATATGTTGTTTTAGATTGTGGGTTTTGTTTTGTGGTTCGGATAGTTAGTACTTGGTTTATTTATTTGAGATATTTGAAAGGAAATCTAATGATTTGATATTTTATTACAGCTAATTCAATGAGCACGGGAGAATATATTTGCCGTGCAGGAGAAGCTGAAGGTTCAGTTGAAGTTACAGTTGTTAGTAAGTACCGTTTGTTTTGTGATTTAGTTATAGTAACTATGGCAACTAAGGATCCCCCCCCCCCTTCAAAACCCCCAAATAACTATTTGACATTCAATTCTACATATTTACAGAGGAATATACCAACAGACTTTGCTTTGCGAATTCAGTTTCCGATTAAATTTCCAAGTATTTCAGATGGGACAAAAAATCGAGGCCCTGTGTACTACAGGCTGTATACGTTAAGGATCCCTCCACAGTTGGAAATCAAAAAAAGTAGACTAATAATGCCACTGTCCTGGCAAAATTTCCCTCATTGCACACTGCATGATGTTGCCCGTCTTCTAGTCCAAATTGGTTCAGACCCTGTTTTTGACTATATTAACCCTGTTTTTGATTTTAACCCTGTTTTTGAATATATTAACCCTGTTTTTGACTATTTTAACCCTGTTTTTTGACTATTTTAACCCTGTTTTAGACTATTTTAACCCTGTTTTTGACTATATTAACCCTGTTTTTCACTATTTGAACCCTGTTTTTGACTATTTTAACCCTGTTTTTGACTATATCAACCCTGTAATTGATATTAACCCTGTTTTTGAATATATTAACCCTGTTTTTTACTATTTTAACCCTGTTTTGACTATTTTAACCCTGTTTTGACTATTTTAACCCTGTTTTGACTATTTAAACCCTCTTTTTGACTATTATTTTAACCCTCTTTTTGACTACATTAACCCTGTTTTTAACTATTTTAACCCTCTTTTTGACTATTTTAACCCTCTTTTTTACTATTTTAACCCTCTTTTTGACTATTTAAACCCTCTTTTTCACTATTTTAACCCTGTTTTTGACTATATCAACCCTGTAATTGATATTAACCCTGTTTTTGAATATATTAACCCTGTTTTTTTACTATTTTAACCCTGTTTTTGACTATATTAACCCTGTTTTTGACTATTTTCAGAGGATGTAAACCACGTAGAATTAAGAATCGGTGACAACCCTCCTGTAATCGGAGAAGAAATCAACCCCTACGAAGCCGAATTTATAAAACACAAAACAAATATTGAATGCACGGCTTTCGGAAGTTTCCCAGCAGCCCATATTGAACTGTATTTAGGCACGGACAAAATCGAACCAGAATCCAACTTAAACACAAAGCTTATTGGTACTGAATACAAATCGGCCATTGTAGCGAGAAAAACATTGTATCCCAAACATTCTGGTAAGAAGTTACGATGCGTTGCGTCAGTCCACTTGCCACCCGAGACTCCATTACAACCCGTGGAGAAAGAAAGCAGTATTCCCCTTCATATCATTACACGTAAGTTACTTTTCATTTTAAAGGGACAGATGCGACATTTTTCCGACCAATCATACCTTTGTCTCAGAAACTGGATTTTTTTAGCTGAGTTAATCAGTAATAGTGTTCACAGCTCACGATCGAAATTTAAGCCTTCAAATCCATGTGTGTCTAGAATTATCTACGTTTGAAAGTTAAAATGACGACTTGTCTTTTCTTGAGACTCTGCCATATCTTGACTAATCATATTTTGGTCTCAGAAACTGGAATATTTTAGCTGAGCTAATCAGTAATAGTGTTCACAGATCACTGTCAAAATTTGAGCCTTCAAATCCATTTGAGTCCAGAATTATCTACTTTTAAAAGTTGAAATGATGAGTCATCATTCACAATTAAGGATTCTTTCTACCAGCTGGTCAGTGTCCCTGATACACATAAAAAATTTAGAAAACCTCTTTACAATCTCTTTAACAAGAACCACAGACGTCTGATTGAAAATTAGAATGGTGTAAATTGATACTATCAGTGTCTCTGATACACATAAAAAATTTAGAAAACCTCTTTACAATCTCTTTAACAAGAACCACAGACGTCTGATTGAAAATTAGAATGGTGTAAATTGATGCTATCAGTGTCCCTGATACACATAAAAAATTTAGAAAACCTCTTTACAATCTCTTTAACAAGAACCACAGACGTCTGATTGAAAATTAGAATGATGTAAATTGATGCTATCAGTGTCCCTGATACACATAAAAAATTTACAAAACCTTTTAACAATCCCTTTAATCGAAGAACACCCCTGACATTAAAACTTTCTGTTATTTCAGTGGTTCCGTTAATTACCTGTAAAAATAAAACAGCTTCCATGAAAGATAAATATGTTAATTTAGAATGCGATGTGTCTGCTGAGAAACCAATGAGAAGTTTGTTCTGGAAACTAGGGTATAATAATCAATATATTTACCCTGGTAACAAGACGGCAGATTTTGATGAGGTTACTGTGGAGGAAATTGAGGTACGTTTTATTCTTCTCTTACAAACTCTGTCTTATACCTTGACATCAATAAGGGGAGCTGCAGTGGCTTAGTGAGTTAGACGCTTGCTTGCTAACTTGAAGGTCCAGGGTTCAATTCCAACATAGGTCGAGATAATACCTTCAGATTTTTCAACCCTGTTTCCCCTTGTCAGTGATGTAGTTAAGAGGGACAGACATGGAAAAGTGTCTGGTTGCTCAGATGGGACAATAAACCGAGGTCCCGTGTACTACAGGCTGTACACGTTAAAGATCCTTTGACAGTTGGAAATTGAAAAAGAGCAGACTAATGCCGCTGTCCTGGCAAAATTTCCCTCATTGTACACTGCATGCTGTTGCCCGTCTCCATTAGCCCACATGGTGCAGAAAAGTAGGACGTAAAAATTCCATCCATTTCATTTTTTATTTATTGTATCGTATCGTATCATATTCATATCATATTTTATTTGTATTTGTATTTGTATTTGCATCGCATTGTATCGTAGTATCATATTTTTATTTGTATCGTATTGTAATTTTATTCATATCGTATTTGTATCTACATCACATTGCATCGCATTTGTTATTGTATTGTATTGTATTGTATTGTATTGTATTGTATTGTATTGTATTTGTATTTGTATTGTTTTGTATTTGTATTTGTATTGTATTGTATTGTATTGTATTGTATTGTATTGTATTGTATTGTATTGTATTGTATTGTATTGTATTGTATTGTATTGTATTGTATTTGTATGTGTATTCCAGGGAAATGACAAGAACAAGAGAGTTACATTGAGTATATATATTGTATTGTATTGTATTTGTATTCCAGGGAAATGACAAGAACAAGAGAGTTACATTAAGTATCTATAAGATGAAAAAAGAACATTTTAATTCTATTTTCTACCTGATCGTAGAAGATAATAGTGGAGAAATTTATCAAGAACCAGTTTATATCAGCCAATGTAGGTTATATTTTTACTTAAAACAGGGTTCAATGAGCAGTTTTGTACCAGGCAGGGTATGCTTACTCTTCTAGACACCTGATACCACTTTTCATTATGAAATACTTACTCACTTATAATTGATATACTTCCTCATGTGAGCAGTTTTGTACCAGGCAGGGTATGCTTACTCTTCTAGACACCTGATACCACTTTTCATTATGAAATACTCACTCATTATAATTGATATACTTCCTCATGTGAGCAGTTTTGTACCAGGCAGGATATGCTTACTCTTCTAGACACCTGATACCACTTTTCATTATGAAATACTCACTCATTATAATTGATATACTTCCTCATGTGAGCAGTTTTGTACCAGGCAGGATATGCTTACTCTTCTAGACACCTGATACCACTTTTCATTATGAAATACTCACTCATTATAATTGATATACTTCCTCATGTGAGCAGTTTTGTACCAGGCAGGATATGCTTACTCTTCTAGACACCTGATACCACTTTTCATTATGAAATACTTACTCACTTATAATTGATATACTTCCTCATGTGAAAAGTTCATTAACTGCTACCAATGTTTCACCAAACTGTTTTTGAAATAAAATTCCATTTTTTTATTTCAGATTACAGCAGTGGTTTAATTTTACGACCCTGTTTATTAACTCTTTTAATACTAGTTTTTACTCAATTATTCCATTAGTGAAACGATAATGCGATGGTATCTTACGTATAAAGGGTTAAAGTCACCAGATGTTGGAAAACGAAAAGGATTAATAATTGGATCAAAGGGAGATAACTCTAATGGATATGTTTGGTTTCTGAAGCTGGCAAAGGAATTTGTAACTTTTATTTTCAAAATGTGCTAATATTATTTCTCTTGTGCTAAAGTAGAATTTTTCTCTACTTCACATTTTGATTTCATTAATACATTGTTAAAGAGGCAAAATTGCAAAAAAAATTATACCTGAAAATATTTCTAAAGTATGTTATTTATATCTATGTATCTACTTGATCAAACTGAATTTGTTTTAAAAGGGTTAATTAAAAACGTTGTAAATTATACCTGAAAATATTTCTAAAGTATGTTATTTATATCTATGTATCTTCTTGATCAAACTGAATTTGTTTTAAAAGGGTTAATTAAAAACAGAGAGTACTAATTGTTAATTAAGCAGATATATAGACATAAATAGCCTAAAAACGTAATGAAATTTAAAACCTTACGTAATGTTTTCAAATAGTTTTGTCGTTTAAAAATTAACGACTGGATTTGTTTAGTTAAAACTTTCAGATACGTTAAAGGACACATTTCTATAGATTTTGGTGTATAGTTTTCACAAATTTGAGCCAAAAAAAAGGGGAATCCCCCTTTAATTATGTTAGTGCTTTTTCTTTGAACAAAGAATTGAATTCACCTCAACGTTTTTTTTAGAAAATTTTTGATAGAGCCCTGCAAAGACTTTTGAAAATAGCTTTGAAATAAACTCGAACATTTACAATTGTAAATAGTTTTTGTTAGTATCTTTTTAACTTGTAAATATCATACTCTTTCTTAAAGGGACACTACCCATGTCCAGTAGCTTAAAGGGATAGTACCTCTTAGAATGAACATAAAATTTAAGTTCTCGAAATGGTCAATATGAGTATATATTCATCAGTGAACTTACCTGGTGTCATAAAGTTACAACAGAATCCCTGTCAAATCTAGAAAATTGGAAAATTTATAAAACTAAGTCATTATTGAATCTTGATATTAAGTGTTTTTCAAAAGTTAATTGTATATTTATGGATAATTACTAAGTTTTTTTGATTTATCTGATTATATAAGGATCCTGTTATGTTATTTATGACACCAGGTATATCTACTGGCTCTTATTCGCCGAGTTTAAAATTCTTCAATTTTATGTTAATTCTAAGACGTAGTATCACTTTAAAGTCCTAGCAAATTTTTCAAGTCTTTGATAGTATTCTTGCACTGCCGATTTTTCTACTCCGCGATCACAAAGGCAAAGACTTCTGCCTGCAAAAAGAAAAGTTTTTTAAATCTTCCCATTATTTTTATGAGAATTGGAATATCAGCCTCAAAATAGTACTGTTAGTCTTAGAATATCTTTGCGTTGATAAAAATATAAACATTGTGCTGTATGCAGCACTCTTATCTTGACTTTGGCTGAAGTCGAACTTTACAAAGTTAGGATTAAGGCTTTCATTTTCTGCATTTGATAGTCAAATTTAAGCACGACTTTCGTAAAGATCTACCGTCAAAGTTTAGGTAAAGTACGAGCGCTGCATATGGCCCATTATGTCTTCAAAATTTGTTTTTACAGACGATAATTTTCAGCCAAAATTTGTGACTTTTTGACGTTGAAATTTCTAGGAGAGAAATGTGTTTCTTTTCAATATAAATTTACGAAAAATTGTATTTCTTTATCAACGCAAAGATATTCTAAGACTAACAGAACTATTTTGAGAGTGATATTCCAATTTTCTTAAAATATCAAGGAAAAAAATTCAAAAAACTTTTTGTTTGCTTTGCTCAATGAAGTTGTTTTTACGTTTTATAAATTTTTTTTGGAAAAATGCGATTCCTTAATAATGTGGTTGGAGAGCAATGAATGAATTAGAACATAGAGAACTGTTTTGAATATTGCATTTTTTTATCTATTTTCTTCCGTAAAACGAAACATTCCAAAAAAGTTCAAGCCATTGGCAATGACATCATTGATATGTGCATAACAGGGTTGTTGATATCAGAAGTTCCCAACCAGACACATGGATATGTAAATTAAGATCAATTTTCATTGAGAATGCTGGAAAAATGCAGAAAATCTAGAAAATTTGCATAGAAGTGTCCTAAACATCAAAAAAGCTGCTAGTCATTTTAGAGCTCCTATCAAACATGAATGGCAAATTCAGATAAATCAGCAGAAAAATGCAAAAAATCTAGAACATTTGTATAAAAAACTTTGTCATTTTGGAGCTCCAACCAGACATGACTGGCAAATACAGATAAATCAACATTTCTGTGTAGAACATTTGTATTAAAAAAATTTAATGTCCTAAAGATCAAAATTGCTGTCAGTCATTTTGGAGCTCCAACCAGACATGACTGGCAAATAAAGATTAAACAACATCCCTGGTGCACAAAAGTTTAAAGAGACTTACCTTCCATATATGCAGCATATAGGTAGAATTGGCATAACTGCTTTGGATTCTGTTTTTCTGTTGTATATTTGGCCTGAGATATGAATGCACATGCAAACTCTAACAATCATGAGCCAGAGCAGTCTATTTTGTTTTAAGGGTAGAATGAATAGTTCATTCATACCTATTCTACCTTCAATTAAAATGGACTGTTCGAGGTTATATTTTGAATAGCCCAGATATGCATAAATATCTTTTTCGTTGTAACTACGTTGTTATCCCTAAATAAATCTAATTAGCATATCTATGAATAAATTTGAATATTATGTTAATGAGTTCTATGCAAATATGAATTTTCAAGTATTATAATATGTGTGCGTTATATTCGTAATATTTTTTGCTTTCAATAATCTACAGTTTCACGGCAAATTGGGGGCTTATTCTTGAAAACTTAACGCAAGATTTGCTGTAATCTGACTGGTCAATCACTAAATTTGATTTTAAATTTAGTTTTATTATCTAATCAGATTACTGTATTTCTTAACTTAAGATGATTTTAGTATTCCAGTCATCTGATTGGTCAATCACTAACATGGATTTTAAATTCAGTTTTATTATCCAATCAGATTACAGTATTTCCAAACTTATAGTGATATTAGTATTCCAGTCATCTGATTGGTCAATCACTAAAATGGATTATAAATTCAGTTTTATTATCCAATCAGATTACAGTATTTGTTAAAATCATGATTTTAGCTTAGTTAAGTTTTCGGAGAACGGCCCCTGAATTATTTTAATTTTTGCTTGATCTTGCCTGTACTTAGCAGTCAATTATTTTTGCTTTCTGTTTATATTCAACAGATTTAAAGAGATTGGAAAGAGGTTTTCTAAATGTTTTATGTGTATCAATTTACACCATTCTAATTTTCAATCAGATGTGTGTGGCTTTTGCAAATCCACTAAAACTAAGCGTTGATGACGTCATTTAGTTTTAATGGAATTGCAGGAACCACACACGTCTGATTGAAAATTAGAATGGTGTAAATTGATGATAAATTGATCAGTGTCCCTGATACACATAAACAATTTAGAAAACCTTTTTACAATCTCTTTAAAGGCTGTTCTAGTTAGTAAACCCACTAGTTCTCAGTTGAAGATGAAGTCATCACTTATTTTCAACTTTCAACAATTTTTTTTTGAACAAATTGTATTTTATTTGCTTCCACTAATAAATTCTGCTTTTTTTAGATTGTAAATTTGTTTTTTTTTAAAGCCATGAGAGATGTCTCTCTCAGGCATGGCCTTAAAGGACCAAAGCTTTGTCAAGCCAGAGACCCCAAGAAGCCCAAGATGGATTTTGAGTGTTCAGAAAACTTAAAGGGACAGCTGTGCCATTTTTTTGTACCAATCATACTTAAGTCTCAGAAACAGGAATTTTTTAGCTAAGCTAATCAGTAATAGTGTTCACAGCTCACTGTCGAAATTTGAGCCTTCAAATCCATGTGTGTCCAGAATTATCTACGTTTGAAAGTTAAAATGACGACTCGTCTTTTCTTGAGACACTGTCATATATAGAAAAGACATCTATAGAAATAGGAAAAGAAATTTCTAGTTTGAGGTATATTTAAAAGAAATTATGAGATTTTCGTACATTTCTAGTATTTCTGAAGACTATTTACATATATAAAAATCAACCCAAATTAACCGCACCTGTCCCTTTAATTTTCCCTTAAATAAGACATAATACAGGCAGAGTATCACCTGAATTAAATAAAAAAAAAACAAAGCTATCATCTGAACACAATATTTCGAAATTAAAAAGCGTAAAGATTTTACAACCATAAAATACATTTACATAATATTATGACATTATTTACATTTAAAACATATATTTACATTTAACATATATTTACAAAACAAATAAACACAACTAAAACATACTGGCAAGATGTATCTCTTGTCTTTATTAGGTTGGTTTTGAAATTTGCGTGGATAATTTACAGTGGTTTACAGGTCTTCAAACTTATTACAAACTTAGTCTTATACCTTGACTGCAATAGTCACCTTTCTTGTATCACATCTTCGCAATGTCAAGCTATTACAAACTTAGTCTTATACCTTGACTGCAATAGTCACCTTTCTTGTATCTTCACAATGTCAAGCTATTACAAACTTCATACTTATACCTTGACTGCAATAGTCACCTTTCTTGTATCTTCACAATCTCAAGCTATTACAAACTTTATCTTATACCTTGACTGCCTTAGTCACCTTTCTTGTATCTTCACAATGTCAAGCTATTACAATCTCCATCTTCACAATGTAGAGCTATTACGAACTTCATCTTCACAATGTCAAGCTATTACGAACTTCATCTTCACAATGTCAAGCTATTACGAACTTCATCTTCACAATGTCAAGCTATTACCAACTTCATCTTCACAATGTCAAGCTATTACAAACTTCATCTTCACAATGTCAAGCTATTACAAACTTCATCTTCAAATGTCAAGCTATTACAAACTTTGTCTTATACCTTGACTACAATAGTCACCTTTCTTGTATCTTTACAATGTCAAGCTTTTACCAACTTCATCTTATACCTTGACTACAATAGTCACAACATGTTTCAAGCTCTGTTTTAGTTGTTTGAAGATCACACAGTGTGAAAATCTGATTAACAACATGTTTCAGGTTCTGTTTTAGTTGTCTGAAGATCACACAGTGTGAAAATCTGATTAACAACATGTTTCAGGTTCTGTTTTAGTTGTCTGAAGATCACACAGTGTGAAAATCTGATTAACAACATGTTTCAGGTTCTGTATTAATATTTTTGAATATAAAGATGACAACCATAGAATATTATTCACAAAATTGAGTACAGAGGATTATATTCTTAAATATATTATAGATTTATATATGTTTATACACCCAGGCATGAATCAAAATAAATCTTCTTGCAAAATCCATCAAATTTTAAAAGTTAACACTTTAAACTCTTTGATAAAGTTTCAAAACTTATCATGATTATTGAAAAAACCAAGTTTTCTTTTCAAATCAAAATTCTCACTAAAACTTGCTTCATTGCCGAAGAAACAACTTAGGTTCACAAGGATCCTTTCTACCAGCTGATCCTTGGTCAAACCTCTTGGTATTGATTTTACAAGGATAACAACTTAGGTTCACAAGGATCCTTTCTACCAGCTGATCCTTGGTCAAACCTCTTGGTAATGATTTTACAAGGATAACAACTTAGGTTCACAAGGATCCTTTCTACCAGCTGGTTCTTGGTCAAACCTCTTGGTAATAATTTTACAAGGATAACAACTTAGGTTCACAAGGATCCTTTCTACCAGCTGATCCTTGGTCAAACCTCTTGGTAATGATTTTACAAGGATAACAACTTAGGTTCACAAGGATCCTTTCTACCAGTTGGTCCTTGACCAAACCCCTTGGTAATGATTTTACAAGGATAACAACTTAGGTTCACAAGGATCCTTTCTACCAGCTGGTCCTTGGCCAAACCTCCTGGCAATGATCTTTCCCGGATTATCTTTCAGGTTATAATAAATATTATATTTTCAAGATACTATATGTACACTAGTTTATGAATAATCATTTTGAAAAAAAACTTAAAATATCAAACTAGAAAATAAGGAATTTTGATTTTTCTGAAAAAAATTATACATAAACCTTAAAGGTTTTCTAAATTTTTTATGTGTATCAGGGAAACTGATAGCATCAATTTATACCATTCTAATTTTCAATCAGATGTCTGTGGTTCCTGCAATTCCACTAAAACTAAGTGTTTGATGGCGTCAATAATCGTAAAATATGCTTTATCACATAAGGCCCTTTGCAATTAGTGACGTCATCAAACACTTAGTTTTAGTGGAATTGCAGGAACCACAGACGTCTGATTGAAAATAGTACAAATTGATGCTATCAGTGTCTCCAATACACATAACTTTTGTTTATTCGCAATTTTATGACAAAAACTTTTCCATCATCCCTCATAAAATTATAAAATAATATAAATGGTTTAAAGCCATCATGCTTTAATCATACTAAAATTGATTGTTCAAAAAAAATAAAAAATAACAAGCCTGCTTGTCTGCAAGTCCAATGTCAGAAATGAAATGAAATGAATGGAGTTTTACTTCCTACTTTTCTACACCATGTGGGCTAATGAAGACCAACTTAATACTTTCTTAAATAATCAATTCTAGCCTAATTAAAGCATGATAGCTTTAATATAAATAAACCATATAATTGGAATAAAATATTTTGAGCTTTTGCAAGAAAACAAATTATTTTGAAAAAAAAAGAAAAAATTGTGCTCAAACTTTGAGCTTTTGATTTCAAGTACAAAATAAATACAGAACTTTCAAAATTATCCTTAAAAGTACAAAAAACTGATTTTTCTTAAAATTTGGGCTATATGCATTTATGTGGACTCTCTCAAATGAATATGTAAGGTGTAAAATTTCTGAGTTTTTCTGAACCAGCTAACCGACATCTATGAAAATGTAATTCAAGATTAGGTTCAATGCCAAGTAGGTAAACCAAGTAAATAATATTAGCTATATGGACTCTCTAAAATAAATGTAAGGTGAAAAATGTTTTTCTGAACAAGCTAACCGACATCTGTGAAAAATTAACTTAAGATTAGTATCAATGCAAAGTAGATATATGAAGTAAATAATATTAGCTATGTGTACTCTCTGATAATTAAGATGGGCAAAAATATTCTTAGTTTTTCTGACAAAGCTAACAGATATCTGTGAAAAATATAACTCAAGATTAGGAATCGAAATATGCAAAGTAGATATATGAAGTAAATAATATTAGCTATGTGGACTCTCTGATAATTAAGATGGGCAAAAATATTCTTAGTTTTTTTGACAAAGCTAACAGATATCTGTGAAAAATATAACTCTAGATTAGGAATCGAAATATGCAAAGTAGATATATGAAGTAAATAATATTAGCTATGTGGACTCTCTGATAATTAAGATGGGCAAAAATATTCTTAGTTTTTCTGACAAAGCTAACAGACATCTGTGAAAAATATAACCCAAGATTAGGAATCGAAATATGCAAAGTAGATATATGAAGTAAATAATATTAGCTATGTGGACTCTCTGAAATGAATACATTATGAAATATCCAATAAAATTTTTTTAGTTTTTCTGACAAAGCTAACCAACATCTGTGAAAAATCTAACTCAAAATTGCAGAAATTGCTACAAAAAGTGTTGACAAAACTAAAAAGAAATTCATACCTTGACTAAGGACAAACGAAAAAATGTTCAAGTTACGATTTTTTGACAAATGTTAGAAATTTCTTACAACCCTTAAGTGACCAATCACAACTCTTGAAAAACATGACGGCAAATTACGCACTTTCTGGGTATTTTCACCGAAATATCTTGGTGTACGATAATTCTTGTTGATCCAACGATGAACTAGTTTTTTATCTATTTGTGAATCCTGTGCCAGTGTCTTCGGTTGAATGGTAACCTGTTAAACTCTCTTAATCTCTATAATTAGGGAACACTGATTTAATCCTGTGCCAGTGCCTTGTGTTCAAACACTCTGAGTGTTTCAACACCGAAGGTACTGGCCAAGCATTTTCGAAACATTCTTAGCGCTAGGATATCCTAGGCTCTTAACTTCTAACACTTTTGAAGAAATCAGTACCTTTGGTTACCTTTGGCCTAATTCCTTGTGGAAAAAATCAGGCTACATATTCTGGAAGTTCTAAATTCAGATTCAGTTTCCAGAATATGTAGCCTGGTTTCTTCAACTTCCACAAGAAATTAGGCCGATTGCAGTCTTTAATACCAAAGGTAATGGCGACGTATTCTCAAAACGATCTTAGTGCTAGGATGTCCTAGGTTCCTATATTCTAACATTGATTCTAGGACATCCTAGCGCTAAGATCGTTTCGAGAATACGTGGCCTGGTTTCTTCAAAACAGTGTTAGAAGTTAAGAGCCTAGGATATCCTAGCGCTAAAATCGTTTCCAGAATAGTCTGGTTTCTTCGCCGTTCACAAGGAATTAGGCCGATTGCAGTCTTTATTCTATTCCAAACGTACTGGTTTCCTCCACGGCCATCACTAACTTCTCGAATAACATATCACATGAAGAATATGGCGGCAAATCTAGTCGATTAAAACACGTATGAGCTCTGTAAAAAAAAATAAAATTATGGAAAGGAAATTAAATAAATGGAGTCCTGCTTTTCTGCACAATGTGGGCTAATGAAGACGGGTAACTACATGCAGGGTGCAATGAGGGAAATTTTGCCAGGACAGCGGCATTAGCCTGCTCTTTTTCCATTTCCAACTGTTGAGGAATCTTTAACATGTACAGCCTGTAGCACACGGGGCCTCGGTTTATTGTCCCATCTGAACAACTAAACGCTTTTTCCATGTCAGCCCCTCTTACCTACATCACTGACAGGGGGAAACCGGGTTGAAAAATCTGAAGGTATTATCTCGACCTATGCAAGGATTGAACCCTTCAGGTTAGTGAGCAAGCGTCTAACTCACTGAGCCACTGCGGCTCCCAGAGAAAAAGTGGAATATGAAAGAATATTTGCGTTCTGTTCGATACATAACAACGTTCTTACCTTGGTAAACTTGTGGTTTTACCCCATTTTTCAATACAGAATTTTCTCGGACCATTACTTCCTCTTAAAGCTGAAAACCCCTCGTACGGAATACTGGACGTTCCTGTTACAAACTAAAAATAGATCAACGAATTAAAAATAAAAACGTAAAATTTACATAAATTTCTGGTAATGAAATATATTTGTGCAAATCAGGGTGCTAAATATCCTTATTTATGATAAAATGGCCGGTTTTGGTAAACCAAGTTAGTTCTTGATTTACCAAATGGTCGCCTCACTGTATTGGAAACCGGCCATTTTATCATAAATAAAGATATTTAGCGCCCTGATTTGCATAAATATCATACAACTCTTCCATTCCGTTAAAACTAAGCAATATAAGATGTAGTAAAGAGTTTTGTAAGGCAACGTTGAAGCAAAATGTAAGTGAGTTAGCAATTTTTAGTTATAAATGCCGCCATCTTGTAAGGGGAGATAACACATATTATTATGTTATTGTGGTCTGGTGGTAGGTTGGTTACGAAATCTCTTGCGGGAGGTGTGTCATTTACAGTTAATTCTTTCTGGAAGAATTGGAATGTCCGAAAATAGAAGTCAAAGGTGTCCCTGATATACATACAAAGGCTAGAAAACCTCTTTCCAATCTCTTTAACAAGAACCACAGACGTCTGATTGAAAATTAGAATGGTGTAAATTGATACTATCAGTGTCCCTGATATACATACAAAGGCTAGAAAACCTCTTTCCAATCTCTTTAAAGTGTATGACATTAACATTTCGTGAAGTTACTTGGTCCTATTAGTTATATATCAAATAATTTTGTGGCCAGTAGAGTTTCAGTTAGTGTTGAAAAAAAAAAGGATTTAACATACCTGAAGTAAACGCAGACGTCTCTCATTATCAAACTTCGAAATGGCCGTCCAAAACCACTGTATAACTGGATGTTGATCGTGATACCCTACAAAATATTAATTATTATTCTATATTACCATCTTTATGCTTTATTCTATTTGGGATAATGAATGCAGTGTGCAATGAGGGAAATTTTGCCAAGATAGTGGTATTAGCCTGTTTTCTTTCGATGTCCAACTGTCGAGTATTCTTTTTGGGCTAATGAAGACAGGCAAAGCCATGCAGTGTGCAATGAGGGAAATTTTGCCAGGATAGTGGTATTAGCCTATTCTCTTTCGATGTCCAACTGTCGAGTATTCTTTTTGGGCTAATGAAGACAGGCAAAGCCATGCAGTGTGCAATGAGGGAAATTTTGCCAGGATAGTGGTATTAGCCTATTCTCTTTCGATGTCCAACTGTCGAGTATTCTTTTTGGGCTAATGAAGACAGGCAAAGCCATGCAGTGTGCAATGAGGAAAATTTTGCCAGGATAGTGGTATTAGCCTATTCTCTTTCGATGTCCAACTGTCGAGTATTCTTTTTGGGCTCATGAAGACAGGCAATGTCATGCAGTGTGCAATGAGGGAAATTTTGCCAGGAAAGTGGCATTGACCTACTCTTTTTTCGATTTCCAACTGTCGAGGGATCTTTAACATGTACAGTCTGTAGCACACGGGGCCCTCGGTTTATTGTCCCATCTGAATGACTAGACTCTTTTTCCATGTCAGCCCCTCTTACCTGCATCACTGACAGGGGGAAACTGGGTTGAAAAATCTGAAGGTATTATCTCGACTGGACCCTAGACCTTCAGGTTTACAAGAAAGAGTTGGTCCTAAAGAAAATCTCTTTACAATCTCTTTAACAAGAACCACAGACGTCTGATTGAAAATTAGAATGATGTAAATTGATGCTATCAGTGTCCCTAATACACAAAAAAAATTTAGAAAACCTCTTTACAATCTCTTTAACAAGAACCACAGATGTCTGATTGAAAATTAGAATGGTGTAAATTGATGCTATCAGTGTCTCTGATACACATAAAAAATATAGAAAACATCTTTACAATCTCTTTAACAAGAATCACAGACGTCTGATTGAAAATTAGAATGGTGTAAATTGATGCTATCAGTGTCTCTGATACACATAAAAAATTTAGAAAACCTCTTTACAATCTCTTTAATAAATATAATAATTATCAAACCTGATCTATATTCTGTATTTTTTCTCCAGTCTGCGATATCAATCTCCACGGTTCCAGCTATCACTAATTCCAACTCGCGAGCATCAAATATTGACACGATACGAGCTTCTACAACCTACAGATACACAAAACATTTACTTAGAATTATGGTGTCAATACTATATATTCTAAATGTGGTTTTTGGGGAGGGTTGTAGCATTGTTGGTTAGAGTGTTGAAATCTTTACATGATACGAACTTCTACAACCTACAGGTACATAAAACATTTACTCAGAATTATGGTGTCAATACTATATATTCTAAATTTGGGGAAGGGTTGTAGCACCATTGGTTAGAGTGATTGAATCTTAAAATGATGTACATGGAGGTTGTTCCATCCGATGACCATGAATAAATCAATTTCCACTCATAATTCCAGTCGACCCAACTGTCAACGAGAGTGGATAATCCAGGAAAGATACATATCAGGGCTGTTGTTTTATCTGTATTTGCCCATTGTGTCTGATTGAAGCTCCAAAATGACTCACAGCAATTTTTATCTTTAGGACATTTTCTATGCAAATTTGTTTCTTTTTTACAGTTTTTTAGGGTTTTAGGGATAGACTTAAGTTGTACCATCGCGCAGTGTATTTAAAATTTGACCAAACTATCATTCTGTCTTTTATTTTTAAAATAGCCACTTCAGTTAGGGTCTAACGACAGCCCTCATTAATGTTCGTCATGTTAACCTTTTGACCTAACTTGATGACGTCTGCTTAAACCAATCAAATTTCTAGGTCTAACAACAGCCCTCTAGACGGGCCACTTGAGCATTCGTCAAAAATTAACCTTTTGACCTTTGCTTCTGCCCTCTCCAGCATTTTGTGTGAAAATATCCAGGGAAAAATAAAATTTGATGACAAACCTCGTGGAATCCTCGAATTAAACTTTCTATCTGTTCAGAAACACCTCGTTCTAATCTCCATTTCGCCATTTTTTCTGTATATTCTTTTTTGTTTCTTTCCGTGACTGGTAATTTACTTCCACCTTGTTTTAATTCTCTTTCTGTTACCTAGCAACAGATTTTCATTTTTAAAAAAGTGCTCAATACATCAATAGTACAATCTTTTGACCAATTTCAGCCTGCCTCCCTACTATAGAGGTATATAGAAATATCAATACAGAACCTGAAACATGTTGTTATTCAGAGTTTCAAGCAATGATCTACAGACAACTAAAACAGAACCTGATCTATTTCTGTAGAATTGCAAGAACCACAGACATCTGATTGAAAATTAGAATGATGTAAATTGATGCTATCAGTGTCTCTGATACACATAAAAAATGTAGAAAACTTCTTTACAATCTCTTTAACAAGAACCACAGACATCTGATTGAAAATTAGAATGATGTAAATTGATGCTATCAGTGTCTCTGATACACATAAAAAATTAAGAAAACCTCTTTACAATCACTTTAACAAGAACCACAGACATCTGATTGAAAATTAGAATGATGTAAATTGATGTTATCAGTGTCCCTGATACACATAAAAAATTTAGAAAACTTCTTTACAATCTCTTTAACAAGAACCACAGACGTCTGATTGAAAATTAGAATGGTGTAAATTGATGCTATCAGTGTCCCTGATACACATAAAAAATTTAGAAAACTTCTTTACAATCTCTTTAACAAGAACCACAGACATCTGATTGAAAATTAGAATGGTGTAAATTGATGCTATCAGTGTCCAAATCAAAGACCTTGATATTTTACAGGTTGAACTATTGAAATTTTAATTCAAATGATTTCACGGCATTTTCTACGTGACCCAAAATAAAAACCAACCTGTCCGAAGACTTCCTCGCTAACAGAGAAAGTTAAATCTAAATCTGATTCTGTAATGTCGTTATCTTTTATCCATAATAAACTTTGGTAAAACTCAGCATCTATTGTTTCAACATCTTCTAACGACCAAGGCCTAGGAAATAAAATATAAAATCATTTGAATCTACAGTTCTCGTAACTTTGAGCCTGTTTTAAACATTATTTAAATAAGGTACAATTTTGAAAACCAAGCCACGTATTTACGAAATGATCTTAGCGCTAGGATGTCCTAGGTTCTTATCATCTAACATTGATTCTAGGATTTCCTAGGTTCTTATCTTCTAACATTGATTCTAGGATTTCCTAAGTTCTTATCATCTAACATTGATTCTAGGATATCCTAAGTTCTTATCTTCTAACATTGATTCTAGGATATCCTAGGTTCTTATCTTCTAACATTGATTCTAGGATATCCTAGGTTCTTATCATCTAACATTGATTCTAGGATATCCTAGGTTCTTATCTTCTAACATTGATTCTAGGATATCCTAGGTTCTTATCATCTAACATTGCTTCTAGGATATCCTAGGTTCTTATCTTATAACATTGATTCTAGGATATCCTAGGTTCTTATCTTCTAACATTGATTCTAGGACATCCTAGGTTCTTATCTTCTAACATTGATTCTAGGATATCCTAGGTTCTTATCTTCTAACATTGATTCTAGGATATCCTAGGTTCTTATCTTCTAACATTGATTCTAGGATATCCTAGGTTCTTATCTTCTAACATTGATTCTAGGATATCCTAGGTTCTTATCTTCTAACATTGATTCTAGGACATCCTAGGTTCTTATCTTCTAACATTGATTCTAGGACATCATAGCGCTAAAATCTTTTTGAGAATATGTGGCCTGGTCCATGTTTCAGAAAATAATTTTTGGTTACTATTTAAAATCAGATGAAAATTTCCTTTCGTTTTTATTTTTCATCCGTCTCCATGGTTATCCTTGAACTCGAACGAACACAACCAAGCCAATCCAATCTTGTCAGTGATTGGTTCAAACTGTAGCCATATTGCCTCAATTATATATAAAAAAAGGCTAACTAATTAAAATCGTACCATTTTTTATTATTTGCTTTTAATTTTAATATGGCCACTTCCGTTAGGGTCTAACGACAGTACTTGATCTGAACGTTTGCAAATTAACCTTTGGACTCAATGAGGTCTGCTTTAACCAATCAAATTTCTACCTTCTCAAACGCTGGCATTTTGTGATTCAGTGTTGATCAGGTTAGGTCAAAAGGTTACTTTGACAATATTCAAGAGGGCTGTCTTTAGACCCTAACTGAAGTGGCTATATCAAAAATAAAGAACGGAACGAAAGTTTGATCTAATTTCAAAATGGATGACTTACACTCGCAGTATAAATTTATAAAATGGACGAGTAAAAAAAGCGTCTAATAAATATTGATGTACCAGGGCGAGGCCAAGAACTCTTCCTGCGAATCGAAACCTGAAAAATACCAAAAAAATTTACAATACATATCAATGTCTACAAATATCTAATTGCCTTTGTAATAGCTACGTCATAAAACACTTAATTTTAGTGGAATTACAGGAACCACAGACGTCTGATTGAAAATTGGAATGATGTAAATTGATGCTATCAGTGTCTCTGATACACATAAAAAATTTAGAAAACCTCTTTACAATCTCTTTAAAAAGAACCACAGACGTCTGATTGAAAATTAGAATGATGTAAATTGATGCTATCAGTGTCCCTGATACACATAAAAAATTTAGAAAACCTCTTTACAATCCCTTTTAATCAAAACGATTTAAAATTTCCAGTCATCTGATTGGTCAATCATGAAAACAGATTTGTAAATTTAGTTTTATTATCCAATCAGATTACTGTATTTCTTAAAATCTGGATTTTTAGTATAGTTTGGTTAGGTTTTTGAGAATTGTGCCTGTTTAGAAAAATACTTTACAATTAATTATATACAATAAGAAAATAATGATATGATTAAGAATACATGATAATTCATTAGAAACACCAATTAATCAAATAGTTTTCTTAATTTGACACTCAAAAATAAGGAAACCCATCTTTAATTATATGCAATAAGAACATAATGATATGATTAAGAATACATGATAATTCATTAGAAACATCAATTAATCAAATAGTTTGCTTAATTTGACACTAAAAAATAAGGAAACCCATCTTTAAGAGTTCAAAATAGAATTTACCAACCATTCATGAGCGTTTTCTACGAAAGCTGACATTGGGCTGATTTGTACAGTATATGTGTCATTCGCCGAATATTCAAATAGTCCGTAATACGGGTTGAATAACTCGCGAGATAACAGGAAGAAGAATTCTCTGGAGGGTCCGCCATAATCTAACCTGAAAAATACAAAACAGAATTATGAGGTGAAATTCGGGGAAGGGTTGTAGTTCAGTAAGTTAGAGTGTAGGAATCTTTACATGATGTCATTTGCTTGGCTAGAATTTTGAAGACAGACTGTAGCGCACTCGGTTAGAGTGCTAAAATCTTATTATGACGTCATGAAGTTTAGGGAGGATGGGCTGCAAGAAGCAAGTTTGCTTGGTCGAGCAAATGGTGGTCGTGGGTTCCAATCTCGGTCAGTGGGTGATAGTCAGGTGACCTTGAATAAGTCATCTGTCATCATTATTTCAGTCAACCCAGCTGTAAATGGGTACAGATAATCTGTGAAAGATCAATACCAAGAGGTTTGACCAAGGACCAGCTGGTAGAAAGGATCCTTAACTGTGAACCTAAGTTGTTATCCTTGTAAAATCAATACCAAGAGGTTTGGTCAAGGACCAGCTGGTAGAAAGGATCCTTGTGAACCTAAGTTATTATCCTTGTAAAATCATTACCAAGAGGTTTGACCAAGGATCAGCTGGTAGAAAGGATCCTTGTGAACCTAAGTTGTTATCCTTGTAAAATCATCACCTAGAGGTTTGGTCAAGGACCAGCTGGTAGAAAGGATACTTGTGAACCTAAGTTGTTATCCTTGAAAAAAATTCAAAACTAACCCTTCATGATCTCTCCTTACAGTTAATCTGAAAAAAAAACCGAACATTTCTTAAACAATAAACAGGCAAAAAGAAAATCTTCCGCCTAATTGGGCTAATGAAGACTGTCGAGGGATCTTGGGCCTTGGTTTATTGTCCCATCTGAATGACTAGACTCTTTTTCCATATCAGCCTCTCTTACCTACATCACTGACAGGGGGAAACAGGGTTGAAAAATCTGAAGGTATTATCTCAACCTATGCTGGGATTGAATCCTAGACCTTCAGGTTAGCAAGCAAGCATCTAACTCACTGACAGGGGGAAACTGGGTTGAAAAATCTGAAGGTATTATCTCAACCTATGCTGGGATTGAATCCTAGACCTTCAGGTTAGCAAGCAAGTGTCTAACTCACTGACAGGGGGAAACTGGGTTGAAAAATCTGAAGGTATTATCTCAACCTATGCTGAGATTGAACCCTGGACCTTCAGATTAGCGAGCAAGCGTCTAACTCACTGACAGTGGGAAACTGGGTTGAAAAATCTGAAGGTATTATCTTGACCTATGCTAGCATTGAACCCTAGACCTTCAGGTTAGCGAGCAAGCGTGTAACTTACTGACAGGGGAAAACTGGGTTGAAAAATCTGAAGGTATTAACTTGAACCCTGGACCTTCAGGTTAGCGAGCAAGCATCTAACTCACTGAGTCTTGAATCAGAGATCTTAAAAAATATTGAACTTACTTTAATTTTCCAGGGCCTTGACCATAACCTTTTGATTCTAATTTTCTATAAAAATTGCGTAATTTAGCGTGGAAGTCACGTTTATATGGGGCAGGTACTCTGGCAGGCGCTCGCTGGACAGCTAAAAAAAAAAAAAAAAATATTCCACATTTTCCATTTTTAGGCATTTTGCAGGAGACTCAATTCTGTCATTATTGATTCATATCAAATGAAACCAAATGGAGTTTTACGTCCTACTTTTCTGCACCATGTGGACTAATGAAGACAGGCAACGCCATGCAGTGTGCAACGAGTGAAATTTCGCCATCATATAACAAGTCTTATTTCATATTTTTTAATTTTTAGAAAATTGGCCATTCATGTCTGAAAACTCAAAGAACGGTTACATACCAGGAGAATTTTGGGGCGAACCTTGATTGGTGTCTACAACAGGATTTTTTAAAGATTGGGGTATGTAGGACATGATATCTTGCTCAAAAACGCTGAAAAAAAAATATTACAATATTAGTTGAAATAAGGAATCTATGATAACAACTCAGGTTCACGAGGATCCTTTCTACCAGCTGGTCCTTGGTCAAACCTCTTGGTAATGATTTTACAAGGATAACAACTTAGGTTCACAAGGATCCTGTCTACCAGCTGATCCTTGGTCAAACCTCTTGGTAATGATTTTACAAGGATAACAACTTAGGTTCACAAGGATCCTTTCTACCAGCTGGTCCTTGGTCAAACCTCTTGGTAATGATTTTACAAGGATAACAACTTAGGTTCACAAGGATCCTGTCTACCAGCTGATCCTTGGTCAAACCTCTTGGTATTGATTTTACAAGGATAATAACTTAGGTTCACGAGGATCCTTTCTACCAGCTGATCCTTGGCCAAACCTCTTGGTATTGATTTTACAAGGATAACAACCTAGGTTCACAAGGATCCTTTTTACCAGCTGGTTCTTGGTTAAACCTCTTGGTATTGATTTTACAAGGATAACAACTTAGGTTCACAAGGATCCTTTTTACCAGCTGGTTCTTGGTTAAACCTCTTGGTAATGATTTTACAAGGATAACAACTTAGGTTCACGAGTATCCTTTCTACCAGCTAGTCCTTGGCCAAACCTCTTGGTAATGATTTTACAAGGATAACAACTTAGGTTCACAAGGATCCTGTCTACCAGCTGATCCTTGGTCAAACCTCTTGGTATTGATTTGCTCTGTACCCTTTACAGCTGGAATGTAAGGAGTTATGAGCTTTCACATGCTGACCGTGATTAGAACCCACGACCACCATTTGTTTAACCTAACCAAGAGAACAACTTCATGTAAAGGTTTCGACACTCTAACCAATTTTGCCACAACCCATCCTCAAAATACATCTTGTTAAGACAGGGGTTTACTTTATATTACCCTTTAAAGATCTATGATCTATAACCATGGAGAGCCCTCCTTTGACAAATTATTTTGCCCCTAATCCCTGCCTTCTCCCTTCCTCCATCTCTGTCCCCACCCCACACACCACTGGTTCTACCTACCTCAATAATATAGTTAGGTCTATATCATTACATAATCTATCCAACGCTTCAATCCCATGATTCTTTATCTTGTGTATTTTATCGCGTAGGGAACTGTTGCCGCTGTACGAGGCGTATTTTTCTTTTAAAATGTCGTCGATTTCCGGCTGGCGTAAAAATAATACCACTTTTTCATTATAGGCTGAAGTATAAAATACAATTTAATATTAGGGCCAACTCTTGAAAGCACTGGCTGTGGACAGAGATTATAAAGAAGTTTTCTTGAAGGGTCTTATGTGATAAAGCATATTTAGTGACGTCATCAAAAACTTAGTTTTAGTGGAATTGCAGGAACCACAGACGTCTGATTGAAAATTGGAATGGTGTAAATTGATGCTATCAGTGTCCCTGATAAACATAAAAAATTTAGAAAACCTCTTAGCGTGCACGAGCCTTAAAGGGTATGTACCATTTTTTATATTTACCTGAGGGTATTAGATTATTGGTTTCTGCCACGCCTTGTCTCGGTGGGGGTACAGGCTGAAATAAAAAAAAAAAATTATATCAAGGATCCTACTTTTCCGCACCATGTGGGCTAATGAAGAAAAGCAACGCCATGCAGGGTGCAATGAGGAAAATTTTGCTAGGACATCAGCATTAGCCTGCTCTTTTTGATTTCCAACTGTCGAGGGATCTTGAACGTGCACAGCCTGTAGCTAAATTCAAAGAAAAAGATTAAAATAACGTGTGGTACTTACAGCGTCTAGTCTGAGAGATTCTCTGGTTGCTCTGTTGGGTCCACGAGCTACTGGTGTTTGTAAGAAATCTGTATTAATCAAAGGAACGTCCGTTGGTAGGCGTGGATCTATAAAAGTTGTTATTTTCATTTTATGATCTATAAAAAATGTCTGAAAAAAAGAGAGAAAATTTTTAATAAGAATTCAATAATTTACTCTAATTTCTACTTTCTGGTTACTTTATCAACATTTTCAACATTATTTAAAATAAAAATTAGCTAGGTTTTCAATCTTTTTCTTTCTATTACCCCCTTCCGAATCCTTGATTGATTGCAATTGGTCGTCTTGATTGTTGAATGGGTTTGATTTCGAGGGAGGGAGGGTTTGATTCTTCCAAAAGTACAGGCCAAGAATGGATCAAATATTTTATTAAGAATTTCTGAGAAAATTTATATATTGGTCTCCATTGTTGAATGGGTTTGATTTTGGGGAGGGAGGGTTTGATTCTTCCAAAAGTACAGGCCAAGAATGGATCAAATATTTTATTATGAATTTCTGAGAAAAGTTATATGGTTGTCTTCATTGTTGAATGGATTTGATTTCGGGGAGGGAGGGCTTGATTCTTCCAAAAGTACAGACCAAGGATGGAACAAATACTTTATTATGAATTTCTGGTCGTCACCATTGTTGAATGGATTTGATTTCGAGGGAGGGATTGTCTGATTCTCCCAAAAGTAAAGGCCAAGACTGAAACTTAGTAATTTGACTAAACGGTCTGAAACTGTTGGGTACTACGAAACATAAAAAATATTACCTTTCCCGTACGATCTAACTTCATCTCCCATCGTCGTGGAACCTCTTTATTAAAATCAGCGAAGAGATTTATAAATAGAACTAGGTCACGATTGTGTTGATATCTATAGCAGAAGACAAATTATATATTTACATCAAATTATATAAAAATTACTGTTTATGACGTCGGAAAAACTTTTATCAATATCTTAGGCCTTTTGTGATATCAAAAATAAACATAGGCTTGCTTTTAGTCTCAGAAGCGAATACGCCCACCAGCAGCTTGATAAAGAGATAAATGTGAACTGTAAAACAAACTCTATATCGTAGCCTGTAGAGTGAGCACGAGCCAAAAAAGTGAAAAAAACAAACGTGATATCAGAATTTTATGCGATATCTCTCAAGAAGTTCATCAGGTCGTCAGCAAATTTAATATTGCACATCTTCATAATGATATTGACACACATACAAACAATCAAAAGAATCAATTGAGAATTGTAGCCTGTAGAGTGAGCACGAGGTAAATGTGTAAACGGACAGACCGATGGACGGACCGACAGGGGCAACTGCAATATACGCCTATAGTTACGTGTGGGCGTATAAAAAAGAATTGCACGACTCAAAGACGTCTGACTGAAAATCAGGACATGTATGGTTTCTATTTGCATCATTCCAATTTTCAGTCAGACGTCTGTTGTTCCTGCAATTCTACTAAAACTAAGCATAATTTGTGCACACGCTGCTAATAATATCTAGACCTTTACGATTAATGACGTCATAAAACACTTAGTTTTAGTAGAATTGCAGGAATCACAGACATCTGATTGAAAATTGGAATTGTGTAAATTGATGCTATCAGTGTCTCTGATACACATATAAAATATAGAAAACCTCTTTACAATCTCTTTAACAAGAACCACAGACGTCTGATTGAAAATTAGAATGGTGTAAATTGATGCTATCAGTGTCTCTGATACACATAAAAAATATAGAAAACCTTTTTACAATCTCTTTAACAAGAACCACAGACGTCTGATTGAAAATTAGAATGATGTAAATTGATGCTATCAGTGTCTCTGATACACATAAAAAATATAGAAAACCTTTTTACAATCTCTTTAACAAGAACCACAGACATCTGATTGAAAATTGGAATGATGTAAATTGATGCTATCAGTGTCTCTGATACACATAAAAAATATAGAAAACCTCTTTACAATCTCTTTAACAAGAACCACAGACGTCTGATTGAAAATTAGAATGGTGTAAATTGATGCTATCAGTGTCCCTGATACACATAACAAATTTAGAAAACCTCTTTACAATCTCTTTAACAAGAACCACAGACGTCTGATTGAAAATTGGAATTGTGTAAATTGATGCTATCAGTGTTCCTGATACACATACAAAATTTGAGAAAACCTTTTTACATTCTCTTTAATAAATTTGATTGAATTGTAGACATTACTGATGTCTGAATTGATAAGTGTTACTGAAGATCACCCACCTATCGAAAGTTTGAGCATCACGTCGAATCCTGGTTACCATGTGTTTTAACTGACCGTTTCTATTATATTCAGAAAGAGCCGCCTGAAAAATCAATTTTATTTACAATGAGGTTTATCGCTTAAGTTTAGCACCATTACAGAAGTTATTTTGAATGGCCACTCACTGAAAAGGGGAAAACAAGATGAAAAATCTGAAGGGTAATACTATGCAGTGTGCAATGAGGGAAATTTTTTCAGCAGCATTAGCCTACTCTTTCAATTTCCAACTGTCAAGGGATCTTTAATGTGCACAGTCTGTAGCAAACGGGGCCTCGGTTTAATGTCCCATCTGAACAACTAGACTCTTTTTCATTGTCAGCCCTTCTTACCTACATCACTGACAGGGTGAAACCGAGTTGAAAAATCTGAAGGTATTATCTTGACCTATGCTGGGATTGAACCCTGGACCTTCAGATTAGCGAGCAAGCGTCTAACTCACTGACAGGGGGAAACTGGGTTGAAAAATCTGAAGGTATTATTTCGATTTATGCTGGGATTGAATCCTGAACCTTCAGGTTAACGAGCAAGCGTCTAACTCACTGACAGGGGGAAACTGGGTTGAAAAATCTGAAGGTATTATTTCGATTTATGCTGGGATTGAATCCTGAACCTTCAGGTTAACGAGCAAGCGTCTAACTCACTGACAGGGGGAAACTGGGTTGAAAAATCTGAAGGTATTATTTCGATTTATGCTGGGATTGAATCCTGAACCTTCAGGTTAGCTAGCAAGCGTCTAACTCACTGACAGGGGGAAACTGGGTTGAAAAATCTGAAGGTATTATCTCAACCTATGCTGGGATTGAACCCTGGACCTTCAAGTTAGCGACCAAGCGTCTAACTATCTGAGCCATCTAACTGAAGGTATTATCTTGACCTATGCTGGCTTTAAATTGTGGACCTCCAGGTTAGCGAGCAAGCGTCTCACAGAGCCAACGTGGCTCCCAACTATTGCAAAATGTAATTAAATGTTTGTCTTACCTCATTCCCTTGCAACATCGGAAAGAAATCGGGTCTCGTTAGGAATTTCACTGCTGGAAGTTTGTAGACAGATCTTTCTGTCGGAGTGACGGTGACTAAACTTTGTGGACTTACTTCTGGTGTTGTTACTAGGGAAAAAGAATAAGCAATTAAGTATACATTTACAAAAGCAGTGGCAGTGGAATAGCTCATTTGAAATATTCAAATTTCTACTATCACTCCCTTCAATGAACAAGTTACACAAACTGGTGTTTATTTTTCTATAAACTGTAGTTTATCACGTGATACTATGACATCATCAAAACACAACAATGACGTAATTTAAGATTTGTGGTAAATTCAAATAACTGATCATATAAAACAGTGAAAATTGTATTAATAAAAGTATCTGAATATAAATATAAGAATTAAACGTTGGTCTCGCTAACATTATTGGTGTGTAAACGCAGTTGACTTCGTCATTTATTCAGTTTGTCATGTGATCAATTGTGTTTACACACCAATAATGCTAGTGAGACCAACGTTTAATTCTTATTTGTCGTCTGCTAGGCGATTTGGTGCTTCCAAAATAACAATTGTAAGAATTTTAAGTTAAAATCAATTTTCAGTAGTCCGTAGATTTTTCTGCATCTGATAAGCCTAATGAAGACAGGATACACCATGCAGTGTACAATGAGGGATATTGCCAGGACAGCGGCATTAGCCTACTCTGTTTTCAATTTCCAACTGTTAAGGGATCTTTAACATGTACAACTAGAAACTTTTTCCATGTCAGCCTCTCTTACCTGTATCACTGACGGGGGGAAACTGGGTTGAAAAATCTGAAGGTATTATCCCAACCTATGCCAGGATTGAACCGTGGACCTTCAGGTTAGTGAGCAAGCATCTAACTCACTGACAGGGGGAAACTGGGTTGAAAAATCTGAAGGTATTATCTCAACCTATACTAGGATTGAACCCTGGACCTTCAGGTTAGCAAGCAAGCATCTAACTCACTGACAGGGGGAAACTAGGTTGAAAAATCTGAAGGTATTATCTCGACCTATGCCAGGATTGAACCCTGGACCTTCAGGTTAGCAAGCAAGCGTCTAACTCACTGACAGGGGAAAACCGGGTTGAAAAATCTGAAGGTATTATCTTGACCTATGCTGGGATTGAACCCTGGACCTTCAGGTTAGCGAGCAAGCATCTAACTCACTGACAGGGGAAAACTGGTATAAAAACTATCTAAATTTCAACTTACAAGCTGGCATATCCATGGGTGTATTTCCAGAACTTGATTCTGGATCTCTTTGGGTGATAGTTCTTCTAATACTTTGATACCTGAAAACAGATTATTCAAAAATATATTGTAAGATTTTCTTTCAGTGTGTTCAATTTTGTCTAAAGCCTTGAGTATGAAAATATCTTAAGGTGGAGGCACACGAGCTGTCTTAGTCAGAGATTTTTGTCACCGACTAGAATCCTGAGTAAAATTTCACGTATGCCTGTTCTTCCATGACAAGATTATCGTGTCCCCGACAGGATTTATAATATTAAACAAGTTTGATAATTGTCTCTGATAGTTTTATCATCTGTAAGACAGACCATCATCATCCAATCAGATTCATTTTCCTTTCAATTACATGATCTTCACGTGATTATCAACATAGTGGAAAACGACCCACTAGAGATTTTTGTCTCCTTGTCTGCCCATGCCAGTCGGTGAAACTGAAGACTCTAGACGGCAACAAAAATCACCGACCAAGATCATTCGTGTGCCTACACTATCAAAGGGATTGTGAAAAGGTTTTCTTAATTTTTTATGTGTATCAGGAACACTGATATCATCAATTTACATCATTCTAATTTTCAATCAGATGTCTGTGGTTCTTGTTAAAGAGATTGTAAAGAGGTTTTCTTAATTTTTTATGTGTATCAGGAACACTGATATCATCAATTTACAACATTCTAATTTTCAATCAGATGTCTGTGGTCCTTGATAAAGAGATTGTAAAGAGGTTTTCTAAATTTTGTATGTGTATCAGAGACACTGATAGCATCAATTTACACCATTCTAATTTTCAATCAGACGTCTGTGGTTCTTGTTAAAGAGATTGTAAAGGGGTTTTCTAAATTTTGTATGTGTATCAGGGACACTGATACCATCAATTTACACCATTCTAATTTTCAATCAGACATCTGTGGTTCTTGTTAAAGAGGTTTTCTAAATTTTTTATGTGTATCAGGGACACTGATAGCATCAATTTACATCATTCTAATTTTCAATCAGACGTCTGTGGTTCTTGTTAAAGAGATTGTTAAGAGGTTTTCTAAATTTTTTATGTGTATCAGGGACACTGAAAGCATCAATTTACATGATTCTAAATTCCAATCAGACGTCTGTGGTTCCTGCAATTCCACTAAAACTAAGTGTTTGATGACGTCACTAATCACAAAATATGCTTTATCACATAAGGTCTTTCCCAATTAGTAAAATTGGTTCTTTTGTTTATAGAATCCTACCTTCTATCGAGTTGTTGTCTTTGTTCCGAGCTGATGGTCGGTCTACGATGTACTGTATGGGTATTAGATAGGGGGCGCTGCCACGTTGTCTGTCTGTTAATATGGTCAATATAAAATATACGGCCGTGACTATCAACTCTGGCTTCCCAACCTGTAACAAATTAAAACATCAGATCAAATAGAGTTTCTACACCTGATGAAGACTAGCAAGCCATGCAGTGTGCAACAGGGGAAAGTTACTCAGGTAGATTTTGGTCTATAGTTTTCATTTGAGCAACCAATGTTAAAGGGACAGATGTGTGCCATTTTTTGACCAATCATACTTTAGTCTCAGAAACGGGAATATTTTAGCTAAGCTAATCAGTAATAGTGTTCACAGCTCACTGTCGAAATTTGAGCCTTCAAATCCATGTGTGTCTAGAATTATCTACGTTTGAAAGTTAAAATGACGACTCGCCTTTTCTTGAGACACTGTCATATATAGAAAAGACATCTATAGAAATAGGAAAAGAAATTCCTAGTTTGAGATATTTTTAAAGGAATTATCCAATTTTCGTACATTTCTAGTTCTTCTGAAGACTGTTTACATATATTCAAAACTAAGAACAACCCCCCAAAATGGCACACCTGTCCCTTTAAGGCCGAACCTCAACGTTGAACAAGATACAAACCTGCAGGAAGTGGATCATCATCAGTAGACGCAACTACACTCGTACTACCACTACTAGCATCAATTACTGGTGAATATTTCGGTCTTCTTGCCGGTACTTTCGGTAACAAACAAGCGTTATTATCACTGGCTGTCGTACCTGTAAAATTCAAATATTAAATCTAAAAAAATATGCCAGAATATAATTTTTGTTTAGTGTCAAATTAAGCAAACTATTTGATTAATTGGTGTTTCTAATGAATTATCATGTATTCTTAATCATATCATTATGTTCTTATTGCATATAATTAAGAGTTTTAACCAATCATAAATGTCCATGTAATTACAGTCTGGATAAACAAAAAAATACTTTTTGACCTTTCTTGATTGGTAACTCATTGGAATTCTGCTGGTAATTCTCTTCTAATTTAGCTAATAATGAATTAATTATGGACATATGAGACAAACTGGTATTTTTCCAAGTCATTAGAACACCTCTACTTTCTATTCATATAAGTTTTAGCATTTTCATTTTCATAAATAAAAATAAGGGAACCCATCTTTAATCAAATTACCTGTAGATGAAGCAACGGATGTCCTCTGACCAGCAGAAGAAGAAGCACCACCAGGGGACTCTGTCCTTCGCGTCTGCCACACAGCGTTGGGGGTCGTTGGGTCTCGACTGTGTCGCGAACTTCCAACACCATCAACAACATCACTATTACGTTTCGGGGTATGTTGACACACAGGTTTACGCACACCTTTACCAGTTGCTATTGGCAACAAGGGAGAAGAGGTCGTTGCCGAGTCTATTTGATGGGTAGGGGTCACATGATCACAACCATGATTCAACACATTTTCTCCCGACACCTCACCACTAGAAGAGGGTCCGGAAATCTGAATTTCCGGTTTTTGGCCGGTCAGTTTGCCCTTTGCCCTTTCGGACCACGATTGCAAATATTGATAAATTTGTTGTCTGTTTTGTTCTTTTTCTTCCTCCGTGAGCACACGATTCCGCGATTTTCCTGGAGTCACGGGAGAATTGTTAAAACTTGCAGAACGTTGAGGCGACGCTCCGATGTGACCTCGTCGTTTCGAATCCAACATCCCCGGACTACGATCTCGCGAGATGTCAACAGGCGAGCAATCTGATTGGTTACTTCCAAACGATCGCATGAGCAAATGTTGAGAAGGCGATTCTGATTGGTTGTTCGAAAGGGCAGAATCTATCGAAGGAACTTTGGCTAATTGATCCGAAAGGCAAGGCATTGAATTTCGGCTGCGACTCTTTTGAATATGTCTTCTAGGCACGTTCGCGATTTCACAAATATCCGAACTAGAGCAGACGCTTGAACGATAGGAATTGTTTGGTGTAGCACTATCTTTTGGTCCCCATGGAAACACTTCATGTTCTTTAGTTTTATCACACGCTCTCTTAGACGCTTCCAAATCACTGGTGGCTTTATCTGAGCTGGAACTCGAAACCCCCAAAGCGCCGGCCGAGGAACCACTGGGATTACCGACAGCAGCATTAGAATTACTCGCTACACCACCCACGGCGCCAAGAACATTTTCCAGGTCTGGTCTAGAATTTTCTCTCGAGCCAATGAATGTTTCCAAGCTGTTGAAACTATGTCTATCACAACTGTCATCGTCCGGCCCCCCTGTGGCTAGCTGCATGTTGATTGGACTATACGTCCTGGGGGGTAGGGGAGGGGGTTCTAACCCCTCTGAAACAGGATTAATAATTTCCCCAGCAGACGTATTCGGACTGCTGGTATTTGAAGAGTTTGAATTTTTTGGGGCCACCTTTTCCATTTTTCTAGGCGGAAGAGGTGGTGCATTAATTTCCATTGATCTGTTATTACGTGGTGGGAGGGGCGGAGCTCTACTTTTGGCGTTATAAGTCCTCGGTGGCAAAGTGGGAGGAGCTATATCCTTATTATACACACACCCTCCTTGATTGACATCCTTCGCTCTAGTCCATGAAGTAGAAAGAACACTGTCAGCTTCACTGTCTACCGATGATTGATGTATGTGAGATGTCAACGGTGTTGAAACTCCGCCCACAGCTCCGCCTATCGCTCCACCCATGGCCCCGCCTACACTATAAGTCTCAGTTAGATCACAAGTATCGCTGTTATTTTGTAATTGTGATGCAGACATCGAAGTCGTACATGTTATGGAACCGCCCGAATTGTCACTCGACGACACGAGAGTCAAAGACGTACCCGAATCCGAACTGTCCGTTTGATTTTGACAGTTGCCACACCCACTAGTGGTAACAGACGTAAAGTTTGTAGTTATAGACGCAGTTGAAATGTTGTCAGACGTCAAACTAGTTTCTGATTTAGCACTTTCGGTCAACACAACGGTTTCCGAATCTGCCACGCGACCTTTTGTTAACGCAGCCATGGAGATGTCATTTTCATGGATGACTTCGGAAGTATTTGCCCAATTGGATTCCGGCATATTGTTGAATCCTGGATCTGTATGTCGATACCGACTGTTTCTGTTATTCTGAACCGATTTATTTTCGTCTAATTCCGATGGTAGCGATGATTTTCTTTGATGGTTTTTACGTTTTCTGGTTTGTTCGTTTTTCACACCTATAATAAAAAAATATTTCGAGAATAAAAAGGTTCTATTTTGACCATTTTTAGATAAAAAGGTTACGGCCGAACTTAAAGGGATAGATGCGCCATTTTGTGTGTTGCTTTGAGACTTGAAAAATGTGTAAATAGTCTTCAGAAGTACTAGAAATGTACGAAAATCACATAATTCCTTTAAAAATATCTCAACCTAGGAATTTTACTCACTATTTCTATAGATGTCTTTTCTATATATCACAGTGTCTCAAGAAAAGACGAGTCGTCATTTCAACTTTCAAACGCGGATAATTCTGGACACACATGGATTTGAAGGCTCAAATTTCGACAGTGAGCTGTGAACACTATTACTGATTGTCTTAGCTAAAAAATTTCGATTCTCAGACTAAAGTATGATTGATAAAAAAAAATGGTGCATCTGTCCCTTTAAAAATCTGAATAATCCGAAATCATACAACCAATATTATGCAACAATCAATTTAAAGCCCTTTTGTTATTTAATTGTTGAAGAACTACGAGTCAGAATTCAAAACAAACATTAAAACCACTAAAAGTTGCAATAAAAAAATACAAAAAAGTTGAGTTTCATGAAAAATGAAACCAAAGATCCAAAGTTATAACCCATATTTAAAGTTATTCAATTGTTGGAGAACTACAAGTCAGATTTCCATTTTGAAAAGTGTTATAGGTAACAAGAAAAGAACTATAACAGTACCTGAGATAACAAGTTGAATGTTAGCTTTAAATTTTAATGTACCGGTACCACTGATATTATCAATTATTGTAACAACTAAAAGTTAGATTTCAATATTGAAAAGTGTTACAGGTAACAAGAAAAGAACTATAACAGTACCTGAGATAATAAGTTGAATGTTAGCTTTAAATTTTAATGTACCACTGATATTATCTGACGGATTTCTTCTCGACAAATCTAAGCTGAAATTACTCGGGCTGAAAATAGATCATATAGTTTTTACTTTTTTAAAGTCGACTCAGCTGTAAATGGATACAGATAATCTAGGAAAGATCAACACCAAGAGTTTTGACCAAGGACCAGCTGGTAGAAAGGATCCTTGTGAACCTAAGTTGTTATCCTTGTAAAATCAATACCAAGAGGTTTGACCTTGGACCAGCTGGTAGAAAGGATCCTTGTGAACCTAAGTTGTTATCCTTGTAAAATCATTACCAAGAGGTTTGACCAAGGATCAGCTGGTAGAAAGAATCCTTGTGAACCTAAGTTGTTATCCTTGTAAAATCATTACCAAGAGGTTTGACCAAGGATCAGCTGGTAGAAAGGATCCTTGTGAACCTAAGTTGTTATCCTTGTAAAATCATTACCAAGAAGTTTGACCAAGGACCAGCTGGTAGAAAGGATCCTTGTGAACCTAAGTTGTTATCCTTGTAAAATCATTACCAAGAGGTTTGACCAAGGATCAGCTGGTAGAAAGGATCCTTGTGAACCTAAGTTGTTATCCTTGTAAAATCATTACCAAGAAGTTTGACCAAGGACCAGCTGGTAGAAAGGATCCTCGTGAACCTTAGTTATCATCCTTGTAATATCAATACCAAGAGGTTTGGCCAAGGATCAGCTGGTAGAAAGGATCCTCGTGAACCTAAGTTGTTATCCTTGTAAAATCAATACCAAGAGGTTTGGTCAAGGACCAGCTGATAGAAAGGATCCTTGTGAACCTGAGTTTTTATCCTTGTAAAATCCTACCAAGAGGTTTGGCCAAGGATCAGCTGGTAGAAAGGATCCTTGTGAACCTGAGTTGTTATCCTTGTAAAATCATTACCAAGAGGTTTGACCAAGGATCAGCTGGTAGAAAGAATCCTTGTGAACCTAAGTTGTTATCCTTGTAAAATCAATACCAAGAGATTTGGTCAAGGATCAGCTGGTAGAAAGGATTCTCATTCGACCCAGCTGAAATATTTTTCAAGCTGTAGATGTGTACAGATAATCCTAGAACGTTTCTCAGTTTTACTCCGTACCGAGCATAAAATGTTGTAACAAAAATTATCAAAAATTTGACTTACCTTTGCGCTTGGGAAACTTTATCCATAATCCGTTGAACGATGATGGAAGACTTCCCCAAAAATCTACTAATCGTGGGTCGACTTTTAGAAAATTTATCCTTAATTTCTAGATCTATAATATCGCTTAATTTAGCATCAATGGTGAAAACCTAGAAATATACAAAAAGTCCGGTTGTAAGCCAATGTAACGTATGCAAACATAGCAGCTTCTAATGCATGTTTGCTTTTTGTGGCACCAAACACATGGTTATCGTGAATTCTAATCACAGTTGTTTTTAATTTGTGTGGCTATCTTAATTAAGCAACAATGGTAAAAAGCTACAGATATACAAAAAAGTTCGGTTGTTAGACATTGTAATGTATGCAAACATTGCAGCTTTGTATAAATGCTTGAGAGGGGGAAACTGGGTTGAAAATTAACACCCTACCTCACCATCCCAATGAGGGTTTGTGGTATTTGATTTGGTTTTCGAACGAACGTCTTTAAGATGATGTGGTTTTTGTAGTTCTAGCCGTCCGGGTAAACACTGTATTTTAACGTACGGGTCCGGGTTAAAAAACATCCCTTTTTTCAAATTACACGCTTGTAAATCTAAAATAACAAAATAATAAATTAAAGGGACAGATGCCATTTTGGGGGGTTGATTTGAGTCTTGAATATATGTAAATAGTTTTCAGAAGTACTAGAAATGTACGAAAATCACATAATTCCTTCAAAAATATCTCAAAATAGAAAATTCACTTTCTATATATGTGTTTTCTATATATCACAGTGTCTCAAGAAAAGACGAGTCGTCATTTTAACTTTTAAACACGGATTTGAAGGCTCAAATTTCGACAGTGAGCTGTGAACACTATTACTGATTGGCTTAGCTAAAAAATTCCTGTTTCTGAGACAAGGTACGATTGGTCCAAAAGAATGGCGCACCTGTCCCTTTAAATGGTATCTAGTTTAATGCAACAAGTTTGATATTTGTCTCCGATTGCAAGACAGACTGTCATCATCCAATCAGATTCATTTTTCTTTCAATTGCATGTTCCGCACATGATCTGTATGTGATAATCGACATGGTGGAAAACGACCGTCTAAGGATTTTTGTCTCCTCGTGTCCCCGCAGCCAGTCGGTGAAACTCTTAACAAGACTCTAGTCGGCGACAAAAATCAGCGACCAGGACTGTTTGTGTACCGCAGCATTATCCAGCAACAATCAACCTAATAAATATTCTGCAAATTTCCAGGAATTTCCAAGACCAAAGGAATCCAAGACCTCTCTTACCTGTTATAATAACTCGAAATAACGCATCTTCATCGTGTGATGTTGAGGCGCCGTTCACAGAAACACTTCCCTGAAATAAAAAAAAAAAAAAAATTTTTATTCAAAAGAATCGTTAGGCAGTCATAAAAATTCTGATTTTAGGTGATAGCATTGTAATTCTATGTGTTTTGGACGTGAATTTTTGTTCATGGAATTGTCATGCCTGATGGTACTTCTTGCTTGAGAAATCCACTACTATTCAACTTTTACACCCAGTTTTGGCCAAGATTCAACCCAAATTTTTTAGCTAAGCTAATCAGTAATAGTGTTCACAGCTCACTGTCAAAATTTGAGCCTTGAAATCCATGTGTGTCCTTAATTATCTATGTTTGTCTGTGATATATAGAAAAGACATCTATAGAAATAGTGAGTAAAATTCCTAGTTTGAGATATTTTTAAAGGAATTATGTGATTTTGGTACATTTCTAGTATTTCTGAAGACTATTAACATATATTCAAAACTCAAATCAACCAAGCCAAGGACCATGTATAGTGTATTGTTGTATTTTTGAAGGAATTATGTGATTTTCGTACATTTCTAGTATTTCTGAAGACTATTTACATATATTCAAGACTCAAATCAACCAAGCCAATGACCATGTATAGTGTATTGTTGTATTTTTAAAGGAATTATGTGATTTTTATACATTTCTAGTATTTCTGAAGACTATTAACATATATTCAAGATCAAATCAACCAAGCCAAGGACCATGTATAGTGTATTGTTGTATTTTTGAAGGAATTATGTGATTTTCGTACATTTCTAGTATTTCTGAAGACTATTTACATATATTCAAGACTAAAATCAACCAAGCCAAGGACCATGTATAGTGTATCGTTGTATTTTTAAAGGAATTATGTGATTTTGGTACATTTCTAGTATTTCTGAAGACTATTTACATATATTCAAGACTCAAATCAACCAAGCCAAGGACCATGTATAGTGCATCATTGTATTTTTAAAGGAATTATGTGATTTTCATACATTTCTAGTACTTCTGAAGACTATTTACATATATTCAAGACTCAAATCAACAAACCTCACCCCCCAAAAAAAAAATAGCGCACATGTCGCTTTAATTAACCATCAGACGTATTTCCGTTGTTGAAATAGTAACATAAAGAAATTTTCGAGTACCGGTGGTATATAGGCCACAGTCTTATGAATGAAGTTATTAATATATAACACTACTTGAAAATATCTTAGTATACCATAGGCCAAGAGGAAGTATATCAACAACAACCTAATTTACTGACCTATTGACCTACTCTATCCACACAGAGGTTAAAGGTCAAATATATATTTACTACTATAAAGATACTGTACACTTGATTTAATTCAAATTTCATTAAGAAATTGTAAATAGGTTTTCTAAATTTTTGTGTTTATCAGAGACACTGATAGCATCAATTTACATCATTCTAATTTTCAATCAGACGTCTGTGGTTCTTGTTAAAGAGATTGTAAAGAGGTTTTCTATATTTTTTATGTGTATCAGGGACACTGATAGCATCAATTTACATCATTCTAATTTTCAATCAGATGTCTGTGGTTCTTGTTAAAGAGATTGTAAAGAGGTTTTCTAAATTTTTTATGTGTATCAGGGACACTGATAGCATCAATTTACATCATTCTAATTTTCAATCAGACGTCAGTGGTTCTTGTTAAAGAGATTGTAAAAAGGTTTTCTAAATTTTTTATGTATATCAGAGACACTGATAGCATCAATTTACATCATTCTAATTTTCAATCAGACGTCTGTGGTTCTTGTTAAAGAGATTGTAAATATGTTTTCTAAATTTTTGTGTTTATCAGAGACACTGATAGCATCAATTTACACCATTCTAATTTTCAATCAGACGTCTGTGGTTCTTGTTCAAGAGATTGTAAAAAGGTTTTCTAAATTTGTATGTGTATCAGGGACACTGATAGCATCAATTTACATCATTCTAATTTTCAATCAGACGTCTGTGGTTCTTGTTAAAGAGATTGTAAAGAGGTTTTCTTAATTTTCTATGTGTATCAGGGACACTGATAGCATCAATTTACACCATTCCAATTAGTTGTCTTTTCTATATATCACAGTGTCTCAAGAAAAGACGAGTCGTCATTTTAACTTTCAAACGTGGATAATTCTAGACACACATGGATTTGAAGGCTCAAATTTTGACAGTGATTGGCTTAGCTAACAAATTCCAGTTTCTGAGACTAAGGTGCGATTGGTCAAACGGGTGGCGCATCTGTCCCTTTAAAAGTCTTCATTTAAATTTTTCGTTTCAGTCCAACAAGGAATCGAGAAGTCCTAAAATATGACGATTATCATTATAAGTGTATTTATTTATCTATGAGAAAAATTTTAGCAATTTTAAACCCTAGATATGAATTAGACCCTGGACTAATAAAAGATAATCTTACCCGTCTACCAGGATGTAGATTAACAATAGTTATTACTGGTGACACAGCTAAAACATTCCCTGTATTTCCTTGATAATATTTAAAACATAACTCTATCTCAGCTGAAATAATCAAACATGATTCAGTTGAAAATGGCAATATTAACAGCTGCAAAGGGCAATATTAACAGCTGCTGAGGGCAATGCAATCAGCTGCAAAAAGAGAATAATATTCATTGGAAATAAGGAAGGAATATCCCCAGCTGAAAAAGAGCAACATTATCAGCTGTACAAAGGCAATATTATCAGCTGCAAAGGGCAATATTATCAGCTGCAAAAAGACAATATTATCAGCTGCAAAAATACCATATTAGAAACACCAAAAGGGCAATATTATCAGCTGCAAAGGACGATATTATCAGCTGCAATAAGGACAATATTATCAGATTTAAAAGGGCAACATTAGAAACAGCAAAAGGGCAATATTATCAGCTGCAAAGGGCAACATTATCAGCTGCAAAAAGACAATATTATCAGCTGCAAAAAGGGCAACATTAGAAACAGCAAAAGGGCAATATTATCAGCTGCAAAGGGCAACATTAGAAACAGCAAAAGGACAATATTATCAGCTGCAAAGGGCAACATTAGAAACAGCAAAAGGGCAATATCATCAGCTGCAAAAAGACAATGTTACCAGCTGCAAAAAGGCAATATGATCCGCTTCAAAGGACAATATTATCAGCTGCAAAGAAAAGAAGATAATTTCATACCCTCTATAAAATTATGACTGATAGAATCTAGATCCCACTGTATCTGCCCGGTATGTCCGCCATTAACACCACGATTTTTACTATCCAGAAACTTTGTCGACACTGTTTCACCTGAAATATTTAATTAAAATTAATAATTAATGATTAACAATTCTAAAAGTTTACTTGAGGACAGGCTGTAGCTCAGTCGGATAGAGCACTGGAATCTTTACATGACATCATAGGCTTGGTTAAACAAGTGATGGTCATGGCATCAGCTGGTAGAGAGGATCCTTGTGAACCTAAGTTGTTATCCTTGTAAAATCATTACCAAGAGGTTTGACCAAAGACCAGCTGGTAGAAAGGATCCTTGTGAACCTAAGTTATTAACCTTGTAAAATCAATACCAAGAGGTTTGACCAAGGACCAGCTGGTAGAAAGGATCCTTAATTGTGAACCTAAGTTGTTATCCTTGTAAAATCATTACCAAGAGGTTTGACCAAGGATCAGCTGGTAGAAAGGATCCTCGTGAACCTAAGTTATTATCCTTGTAAAATCATTACCAAGAGGTTTGACCAAGGACAAGCTGGTAGAAAGGATCCTTAATTGTGAACATAAGTTGTTATCCTTGTAAAATCATTACCAAGAGGTTTGACCAAGGATCAGCTGGTAGAAAGGATCTTTAATTGTGAACCTAACTTTTGTTTTTCTTTTCATTCCTTCAGATTTGAAAACATTTAAGATTTAAACGCTCTAACCAACAGTGCTACAGTCCATCTCCAGACCTAATACAAGTTTAATGAAAATGCGAAAAAAATCTTAGTTAACGTAAATTGTGAACTTTCTTTTTCTTGAGAGTTTTAAGAAAAAATTCTTCCATACCTTTTGGAAAGAGACCAATCCAATCTTTCGCTCCTATATCCTCTCGGACATCCCACGAGACTGTAATATATTTATCTTTTCCTAAAATAAACCGTGTTCGGTCCACGGTAAGAATGGACCAGGACTGTTCACTCGTTAAATTCAACGTAGAGTCACTGTTGGAGCGTTCACGCAACGTCAAATCTGAATCACTTACGCTTGATTTCCGTGAAACTGGAATTGATAAATCATCCACGGAACTATAGTCCGATTTAGTTTTTGGCGGTAGAGCTTCCGCCATTTTGTTTGATTATCCAGTCACTTTGTCTACAAACATTCAAATAGACTTGGTTGTCAAGTTTCAAGGATTGGGTACTGTCATCTTAATACAATTTTTTTAGCACTGTGTCACGTAAAATTTAATGGCGTTCATTTCTTTTTAACTCCGCAATGTCTGATTTTACAGTTGGGTAAATATTTATCCATTATCGATAACCATTTATCTGAAAAATCAAAAAATAAACGATTACATATTTTTACGTGTATCATGGACATTTTAAAAAAAAATACACGAAATGAATGGAGTTTTACGTCTTACTTTTCTGCACATTATGGGCTAATGAAGAGTAATGAAGACGGCACAGTTTTTGAGGTGTGCTTTGTAGACAATTTTATCTTTGATGTGTGTGTACAGCTTTAAACCTAACAAACTTGGGGGGATGGGGATTAGAAATTTATCTGAAAAAAAAAAAAAAAAACAAGGTCAAAACTATTATATGCATTACAGTCAGTTTAATGAAAATTAGACCAAAGTTTCATTTTTAATCTAGCCACTTCAGTGAGGGTCTAAAGACGGCCCTTTTGATTATTCTTTCAAATTAAGATGTTTCGTTTTCCTTTTTTCTGTGGGATAATACCTCATTATACTTTCGATTCCCTGTAAATACTAAATTAAAAACATGTTTTGTATCATAGAAGTATATTCTTGTTTTGATCAGTTATTATAGTTTATTGTGGGTATGTTATGTGTTATAGAAGTATATTCTTGTTTTGATCAGTTATTATAGTTTATTGTGGGTATGTTATGTGTTATAGAAGTATATTCTTGTTTTGATCAGTTATTATAGTTTATTGTGGGTATGTTATGTGTTATAGAAGTATATTCTTGTTTTGATCAGTTATTATAGTTTATTGTGGGTATGTTATGTGTTATAGAAGTATATTCTTGTTTTGATCAGTTATTATAGTTTATTGTGGGTATGTTATGTGTTATAGAAGTATATTCTTGTTTTGATCAGTTATTATAGTTTATTGTGGGTATGTTATGTGTTATAGAAGTATATTCTTGTTTTGATCAGTTATTATAGTTTATTGTGGGTATGTTATGTGTTATAGAAGTATATTCTTGTTTTAATCAGTTATTATAGTTTATTGTGGGTAAGTTATGTGTTGAAGGGAAACTATATGGAAGAGATTACTACTTGTTAATGGGTACAGTGGAGAAAATATATCTTTGAAATTTGATAATCGATAATCGAAATCATAAATTCGTAGTGACAATAATCGATTAATTTGATCATAACAAATTCATAAAATATCTAAAACATTTGTCAGTAGAATGAGCTCTAGTCAATTAGCTAATATCAAATCCTGATGAGGATTGTGTATCTGAAACATAACAGCTAAAAAAAAAGGATTGGATTTCAAACACTCCTCATTATCAACTTTAAGTTTAAAATTCTGTAAAGTTAGTTAAACAGATAGTCGATAATAATATACAAGAACTAGGAATGCAGTAAAAGATAAGTGGTTTGGAAGAAGATACTAAAAATATATACTTCAGCAATTTCAACTATCAGTTAAAGGGACAGATGCACCATTTCTTAGACCAATCATACTGTAGTCTCAGAAATGGGAATTTTTTTAGCTAAGTTAATCAGTAATAGCGTTCACAGTTCACTGTCGAAATTTGAGCCTTCAAATCCACGTGTGTCTAGAATTATCTACGTTTGAAAGTTAAAATGATGACTCGTCTTTTCTTGAGACTCTGTGATATATAGAAAAGACATCTATAGAAATAGTGAGTAAAATTCCTAGTTTGAGATATTTTTGAAGGAATTATGTGATTTTCGTATATTTCTAGTATTTCTGAAGACTATTTACATATATTCAAGACTCAAATCAACTCCCCAAAAATGTTAAAATGACATCTATATTGAGATATTAAGAAGGAATTATGTGATTTTCGTACATTTCTAGTATTTCTGAAGACTATTTACATATATTCAAGACTCGAACTTGTCCCTTTAACTTATCACCCCCTCACTGAGTCTATAATTACTTCATCTTTTCATCTATACTGAGTGGGCAGTAGGGTGAACTTTTTAACAGGCCAAGCAAGTTTTACAACCAATCCAGTTTCCATGGTTTCTTCTGTTCACAAACAACTGTCGAGGGAATTTTAACGTGCACAGTATGTAGCACACGGGCCTTGGTTTATTCAAATTGTCCCATCTGAACGACTAGACGCTTTTTCCATGTCAGCCCCTCTTACCTACATCACTGACAGGGGGAAACTGGGTTGAAAAATCTGAAGGTATTATCTCGACCTATGCTGGGATTGAACCCTGGACCTTCAGTTTAGCAAGCAAGAGTGTAACTCACTGACGTGGGAAACTAGGTTGAAAAATCTGAAGGTATTATCTTGACCTATGCCAGGATTGAACCCTGGATCTTCAGGTTAGCGAGCAAGTGTTTAACTGACAGAGGGAAACTGGGTTGAAAAATCTGAAGGTATTATCTCGACCTATGCCAGGATTGAACCCTGGATCTTCAGGTTAGTGAGCAAGCGTCTAACACACTGACAGGGAGAAACTGTGTTGAAAATCTGAAGGTATTATCTCCACCTACGCCAGGATTGAACCTGTAGTAGTTTTAGCTACATCACTGAGCCACCGCGGCTCCCTTCTCCCCTGTTGAGAAACACTGCTTGGGCTCACAATAATTTATTACCATTCGACCTAATCTATAATTAATACATGTTACTAAAAATAGTAACACTAATTCAACCCACACTCAAAGCATCTGCTATGTAATATTTAAAACCAACACTTCTTATAACTGTAGTCCAAAACATCTGTCTCTATTCCAGCCTCTGATAGATATCTTATAACTGTAGTCCAAAACATCTGTCTCTATTCCAGCCTCTGATAGATATTTTAAAAGTTGTCATACTGAAACATCTGTCTCTATTCCAGTCTCTGATAGATATTTTGAAAGTTGTCAGACTGAAACATCTCTCTATTCCAGCCTCTGATAGATATTTTGAAAGTTGTCAGACTGAAACATCTGTCTTATTCCAGTCTCTGATAGATATCTTATAACTGTAGTCCAAAACATCTGTCTCTATTCCAGCCTCTGATAGATATTTTAAAAGTTGTCATACTGAAACATCTGTCTCTATTCCAGTCTCTGATAGATATTTTGAAAGTTGTCAGACTGAAACATCTCTCTATTCCAGCCTCTGATAGATATTTTGAAAGTTGTCAGACTGAAACATCTGTCTTATTCCAGTCTCTGATAGATATCTTATAACTGTAGTCCAAAACATCTGTCTCTATTCCAGCCTCTGATAGATATTTTGAAAGTTGTCAGAAGCTGGAATAGAGACAGATGTTTCAGTCTAATTACAAGTCTAGGGTAGGCCTACTTCAGTTATCTTCTACTTCCATAATTCTTATCTCCATCATTTAGAAAAACTTAATATCGAACATTTTCATTTATTTCCTATTAAAATTTTTTTGTCTTTTTGCATTAATTTTAACCTTAATTCTTAAAATATGGATGTGAATTTTTTACCTTTTTAAGTGATTTTTAAGGTTTTCTAAAAAAAAATATTTTTCAGTCAGACATCTGTGGTTCCTGCAATTCCACTAAAACTAAGTGTTTGATGACGTCGCTAATCGCACAAATGCTTTACTCAATAAAGTCCTTCGTGATTAGTGACGTTAGTTTTAGTGGAATTGCAGGAACCACAGACGTCTGATTGAAAATTAGAATGGTGTAAATTGATGCTATCAGTGTCTCTGATACACATAAAAATTTAGAAAATCTTTTTATAATCTCTTTAACAAAAACCACAGACGTCTGATTGAAAATTAGAATGATGTAAATTGATGCTATCAGTGTCTCTGATACACATAAAAAATTTAGAAAACCTCTTTACAATCTCTTTAATATGATAATAATAGCCTACACAAACAATGTAACCTTTTATATATATTTTATGCCAGTGTCTCAAGAAAAGACGAGTCGTCATTTTAACTTTCAAACGTAGATAATTCTGAACATACATGGATTTGAAGGCTCAAATTTCAACAGTGAGCTGTGAACACTATTACTGATTAGCTTTGCTAAAAAATTCCTGTTTTTGAAACAAAGGCTGGTGAAATGGATGGTGAATCTGTCCCTTTAAAGTTATACTACCTCTAAGAATACACTTTTCCTATGGCTTCAATTTATGTTTGAAAGTTATCATTGGTAGAATTAATCAAATTTCAAGCATTTTTTTAAAAACACTAATTTGTATTAATTTTCCTGTTTTATGCCATTAATGGATTCATCGCTACAGGGATTCTGTTGTATATTTATGACACCAGGTAAGTCCAACTAATGAATATGTACTCTTATTGGCAAAGTTTGAACTAAATTAGAAATTTTATGTTCTTTCTAAGAGATAGTATTCAACATGCTTGGCTTGCAGTTTGAAATGTTCAAAAAATGTTGATTGTTTTCTCACCTGGCATTTCTCAACGAAATTTTTAAAATTCTTTTTCATAAATATTCTCTTTCCTATGGATATTTAGACTTCATTTATAAAAAATCGAACTTTTCTTGTAAGAATTCTGCAAAGTACAGCTATTATCCGGCTATGAATTCACTATCAAACGTCAAAACATAATAAAATAAGTCGAGAAAGTAGAAGCATCGTCCGCCATGTTTTACAAAGCACCCTGGGTTAATGTCTGTTTACTTCCGGTAGAAAACGAAAGTAGTAAAATAGTCGTGTCCGCTGTAGAATCGAACACTTTTACTGAATTTCTGGCCTTGGCCAGTGCTTCTAGTTCTATAGCTACTATAGGAGAGTATTTTCTTTGTAAGAAGCAGGCATTGTGTTTATGTTTAGGTCTAATTGGGCCAAGTTTGTTCACTGGATTAGGCATTCTATTTTTATAAAATATTTGTGTTGTCATTCTTTTGAAATTTGGAGTTTTACGTCCTACTTTTCTACACCTAATTGGGCTAATGAAGACAGGCAACACCATGTAGTGTACAATGAGGGAATTTTGCCAGAACAGAAGCATAAGCCTACTCTGTTTTGATTTCCAACTGTCGTGGGATCTTTAACGTGCACAGCCTGTAGTGCACAGGGCCTTGGTTTATTGTTCCATCCGATCGACTAGACGCTTTTTTGATTTCCAACTGTCGTGGGATCTTTAACGTGCACAGCCTGTAGCACACGAGGACCTCAGTTGATTGTCCCATCTGAACGACTAGACGCTTTTACCATGTCAGCCTCTCTTACCTACATCACTGACAGGGGAAACTGGGTTGAAAAATTGAAGGGATTGTAAGGAGGATTTAAACTTTTCTATTTGGAACAATAAAGCATCAATTTACATCATTCTAATTTTTAATCAGACGTCTGTGGTTCCTGCAATTCTACTAGCACTAAGCTATTTATGATGTCATAACACGTTTCAATGGAATTGGAATAATGTAAATTGATGCTATCAGTGTCTCTGATACACATAAAAAATTTAGAAAACCTCTTTACAATCTCTTTAACAAGAACCACAGACGTCTGATTGAAAATTAGAATGATGTAAATTGATGCTATCAGTGTCCCTGATACACATAAAAATTTTGGAAAACCTCTTAAAGGGACAGATTTGGGGGGTTGATTTTTCTATAGATGTCTTTTCTATATATAACAGAGTCTCAAGAAAAGACAACTCAACTTTCAAACGTAGATAATTCTGGACACACATGGATTTGAAGACTCAAATTTTGACAGTGAGCAGTAAACACTATTACTGATTAGCTTAGCTAAAAAATTCCTGTTTCTGAGACTAAGGTATAAAGATTTTTTTATTTACAATATATTTTTATCAGGAATATAATATACACAAACATCATAATTTATCTAAATGTATGGTGTATATTCTGACTGAATGATCAAGACTACAACTCGCTAACTGTAGTCTTGTTTTATTAGTCTCTTTCTCTCCAGCCTCACCCAGGCGCGGTCGAAACTTTAACCTCTTGATGGTCAGATGATGAGAATATCTGGTTTTTAAATTAAGGATAATTTCAAATTCAAATAAAATGATGTTTTACGTCCTACTTTTCTACCCTATGTGGGCAATGCCATGCAGTGTGCAATTAGGGAAATTCTACCTGGACATCGATATTGGACTACAGTTTATTGTCCCACCTGAACAACTAGACTCTTTTTCGATTTTCAACTGTAGGGGGATCTTTAACATGTACAGCCTGTAGCACACAAGGCCTCGGTTTATTGTCCCATCTGAACGACTAGACTCTTTTTCCATATCAGCCCCTCTTACCTGCATCACTGACAGGGGAAACCAGGTTGAAAAATCTGAAGGTATTATCTCGACCTATGCTGGGATTGAACCCTAGACCTTCAGGTTAGTGAGCAAGACTGGCCTCTTAAACATTTGTCAAAATAACCTAACCTGATGACCTGTGCTTTAACCAATCAAATTCCTTCTTACAAAATGCCAGGACAGAAATCTTATTGGTTAAATCAGGGCTGGGTCAAAAAGTCAATTTAACGAACGTTGAAGTGACCTGTCTTTAGACCCTAACTGAAGTGGCTATATTACAAATAAAAGCCACTAAAAAATGGAACGAAAGTTTGGTCTAATTTTATGCCAAGTTTTCAACCAAAGGGAAATAAATTTGCTGAAAGGATACTTTTGAGGTAATGTCGTGTAGAGGTACCAGGTTTGGTCTGTAGGCGTATATTTATATAATAATATTTTACCACTATCCAAACCAATACTCACTAGATAGCTGAAAGAGTAAAACATGGTAGAAACGCATTAACAAAATGGAAGAATAAAAAATGATCAACATTTCCAATTAAATATTTACAGAGTAACAGGCAGCATTTTCAGGTGTTGATTTGAGTCTTCAGGAGTACTAGAAATGTACGAAAATCGCATAATTCCTTCATAAAATATCTCACACTAGAAAATTGCATAAATGAAGTAGGGGTAAAATTAGGGGTGCAAACTAATTCAAATTAGACCAAACTTTCATTCCGTTTTTTAACTTTTAGTTAGGGTCTAACGACAGCCCTCTTGAACATTGTCAAATTATACTTTTGACCTAACTCAATGATGTCTGCTTTAACCAATGAAATTTCTAGCCTCTCCAGTGCTGGCAGTATTTCAGGTTGGGTCAAAAGGGCTGTCGTTAGACCCTAACTGAAGTGGTTATATTAAAAATTAAAGCTAATAAAAAAACACAGAACAAAAGTTTGGTCTAATTTTAATTAAACTAGCCTTAAGGGCGGCGCCACTAACCTGTTGTCATGTACAGAATTTTGTGGTGCTACATCTACTGCCGTTACAGATTCCTGTAATTCCAGAACGCTGCAAGGTTTGACAGAACCAATTAATAGATCTTTTATACTCCATACCATGACCTAGAAAATATATTAATATTATTCTCGATTAAACACACAGATATCAAGGGCAATAACTCTTATCTCAAGAGGCTGTCAGTTGATCAACCTTTTTTGCTACTTTTTTCACAGCAGACGCGAGCTCTTGTGTGAGCTATTGTCTCACTAGAAAATCTTTGGCCAATTCCGTACGTCAACGAAAAAACATTTTTTCGAAGAACCCAACTTTCGTTTCATTTTTTTTTATTACTTTTTATTTTTAATATAGCCACTTCTGAGTCGGGGTTTAACGATAGCCCTCTTGAACATTCGTCATATTAACCTTTTGACCTGATCTGATGACGTATGCTTTAACCAAATTTAACTGTGTCGGAACATCCAATGAAAAGGCGGGTTTTCTATTTTCACTTTCAGAGGGCTTGATAAACTAGTCTATTGCTCCTGAAAATACACCTGTTAATCGCGTATAAAACGCCAATGATGGAGAAGGCGTAAATTTGATTGGCTCACAAGGGGGAAACAGCTCAGCTCCCAACCTCTTGAAACAGTCAACTCAGCCAGTTCCTCTTGTCTGCGGCAAGTTTTACGTCGTTTATAAAGATCTACCTTTTTATCTCGAGACGCTGTAAAGAAATATCGGTCGTCCCAAGTCCAACAACAATCCCAGATAATTCTCGTGTGACTGGTCGTTTTTTTATCAACAGATATACAATTCTCGTAAACACTCTTCCCATCACCTAGATTGAAAATAAAAAAATCATCGCGTGAAAAACTTTCCCGAAAATATTGCAATTGCAAAAGAATCATATCACTGACAGCAATCTAAAGGTGCCATTAGACGAACAGTCTTGGTTGCTGATTTTTGTCACCAACTCGAATAATCTTGAGTAAAATCTCATGTATGCCCGTGCTTCCATGTCAAGATTATCGCGTTGCCAACAGAATTTATAATATCAAACAAGTCTGATAATTGTCTCTGATTGTTTTATCGTCTGTAAAATAGACCGTCATCATCCAATCAGATTCATTTTCCTTTCAATTACATGTTCCGCGCATGATTATCGACAAGGTGGAAAACGACCGACTGGAGATTTTTGCCTCCTTGTGTGTCTGCAGCCAGTCAGTGAAACTCTTGACAAGACTCTAGTCAGCTACAAAAATCGCCGACCATGACCATTCTTTTTTAGTGGATTTGCAAGAATCACAGACGTCTGATTGAAAATTAGAATGGTGTAAATTGATGTTATCAGTGTCCCTGATACACATAAAAAATTTAGAAAACCTCTTTACAATCTCTTTAAAGTAGAAAGTTGAAAACTAACTAACCTGTAGATTTTGAGTAAAGAGACCAGGTTCTATCTCGTGATACTGCCAGTAGATATTGGTTGCTATGAGAGAAAGCTAGCCTAGTTACCGTTAAACTACATCCTGTTAACGATCCTATCTGTTTCCACGTTTCTACATCCCATAATATTATATTAGCATATTCACTTTTACTCGCCTACAACATAATAGTAATATCATTTTATCAATGTCTTATACCTTGACTACAATAGCCACATTTCTTGTATCTTTACAATGTCAAGCTATTACGAACTTCATCTTATACCTTGACTACAATAGTCACCTTTCTTGTATCACATCTTCACAGTCTCAAGCTATTACAAACTTCATCTTATACCTTGACTGTTGTGGCAACCTTTCTTGTATCTTCACCATGTCAAGCTATTACAAACTTCATCTTATACGATTAGTGAAAACACTTAGTTTTAGTGGAATTGCAGGCACCACAGACGTCTGATTGAAAATTAGAATGGTGTAAATTGATGCTATCAGTGTCCCTGATACACATAAAAAATATAGAAAACAACTTTACAATCTCTTTAACAAGAACCACAGACGTCTGATTGAAAATTAGAATGGTGTAAATTGATGCTATCAGTGTCCCTGATACACATAAAAAATATAGAAAACAACTTTACAATCTCTTTAATTCAAAGGGTAGTGATCTGAATTTAAGAACACAGACAGAAAAATTACACAAACCTTACAAGCTGTAGCTAGTATTTGACCATGATAATCACAAGCTATTGAGAATATTTCGTAACCGTGCCCGTAGAGTTTCTGAGATTCCGGCCATAGTGTATTCTGTAATAAATTCTCTTCACTAGGTGGCTCTAGAATAAAAATAATATTCTTCTTTAGTGTTTAGCCATAAAAGAGCTATATGAAGACTGGCATCACCATCAGTGGAGAATGAGGGAAATTTTTTGACATTTTGGCCATAGCATATTACTAAGTCCGGCAAGAATTTTGGCTTCTAAAGTGTTTACAAGATAAAATTTCAATGTGTTTTCAACAATAAGGGCAATAACTCATATTAAATATTATTCGATTTTTCTGATTTTCAATAGGGTTCATCCTTGGTTGATTACAAACACTCACACCAAATATCAACTAAATCCATCAAGAATTGTGCCTTCTAGAGTGTTTACAAGCATTTCAGGAACAAGGGCAATAACTCATACTAAATATTTTTCGATTTTTCTGATTTTCAATAAAGTTCATCATTGGGTGATTACAAACACTCACACCAAGTTTCGTCAAAATCTGTCAAGAATTGTGCCTTCTAGAGTATTTACAAGCTAAAAATTGAACGCGTTTTCAAGAACAAGGGCAATAATTAATACTAAATATTTTTGCGATTTTTCTGATTTTCAATAGGTTCATCCTTGGGTGCTTACGAACTCTCAAACCAAGTTTCGTCAAAATCCATTGCGCCTTCTAGAGTGTTAACCAGCATTTCAGGAACAAGGGCAATAACTCAATATTTTTTGATTTTTCTGATTTTCGATAAGGTTTATCCTTGGTTGATTACAAACACTCACACCAAATATCATCTAAATCCATCAAGAATTGTACCTTCTAGAGTGTTTACAAGCATTTCAAGAACAAGGGCAATAACTCATACTAAATATTTTTCAATTTTCTGATTTTCGATAAGGTTCATCCTTGGTTGATTACAAACATTACACCAAATATCATCTAAATCCATCAAGAATTGTACCTTCTAGAGTGTTAACCAGCATTTCAGGAACAAGGGCAATAACTCATACTAAATATTTTTCGATTTTTCTGATTTTCAATAAGGTTCATCCTTGGGTGCTTACGAATTCTCAAACCAAGTTTCGTCAAAATCCATCAAGAATTGTACCTTCTAGAGTGTTAACCAGCATTTCAGGAACAAGGGCAATAACTCATAATAAATATTTTTCGATTTTTCTGATTTTCAATAAGGTTCATCCTTGGGTGCTTACGAATTCTCAAACCAAGTTTCGTCAAAATCCATCAAGAATTGCGCCTTCTAGAGTGTTAACCAGCATTTCAGGAACAAGGGCAATAACTCATACTAAATATTTTTCAATTTTCTGATTTTCAATAAGGTTGGTGTAAGTGATTTTTATCACCCAAGTTTTTTCAAAACTCTTCTAGAGTGTGTGCGACTAATTCTGTATTTACGACCAATTGTGGACGGACGGACGGACGCACGGACGCACGGACTCACCGACAGACCTACCTGATAAAGTTTGTGGATGAAAATAAACTTCAGGATATTGTTCGCCCCATTTAACTTTTTCATCGACGATATTTTTCTTTTCTTTTTCTTCGTTATATACGGCTTTATTCGATAAACCTAGGGCTGGTACACTAGCGCCCTCTGCTAGGTTAGAACTCTCCTAAAAACAATAAATTATACCCTATACACATTTCATAGGTGGCGCTTGATTGGTTAGTTCTGAACAGGTTCCGTCTGTTCGAATTTCAGTCTCTAAGGAAGCGGAATGTGTCACAATCAAAATTACTTTCTCCGCCATTTTGAATTCTGTCTTCACCTACTTGTTTTTTGGCACAGAAAATTGAAATGAATGGAGTTTTACGTCCTACTCTTCTGCATTGATTGTCCAAATGAAGATTGCCAACGCCATGCAGTGTGCAATGAGGGAAATTTTTCCAGGACACCTGCATAAGCCTGCTCTTTTTCGCTTGTCGAGGGATCTTTAACATGCACAGTCTGTAGCACACAGGGCCTCGGTTTATTGTCCCATCTGAACGACTAGACACTTTTTCCACGTCAGCCCCTCTTACCTTCATCACTGACAGGGTGAAACTGGGTTGAAAAATCTGAAGGTATTATCTCGACCTATGCCAGGATTGAACCCTGGACCTTCAGGTTAGCGAGCAAGCATCTAACTCACTGACAGGGGGAAACCGGGTTGAAAAATCTGAAGGTATTATCTCGACCTATGCTAGGATTGAACCCTGGACCTTCAGGTTAGCGAGCAAGCATCTAACTCACTGACAGGGGGAAACCGGGTTGAAAAATCTGAAGGTATTATCTCGACCTATGCTAGGATTGAACCCTGGACCTTCAGGTTAGCGAGCAAGCATCTAACTCACTGACAGGGGGAAACTGGGTTGAAAAATTTGAAGGTATTATCTCGACCTATGCTAGGACTGAACCCTGGACCTTCAGGTTAGCGAGCAAGCGTCCAACTCACTGAGCCACTGCAGCTCCAGCGAATTTCAAGGCTACATCTCTGTTGCCATAGAAACAGCAATGAGTAACCAATGATAAAGTAATAAATACCTTTTTATTTAATTCGTTTTGTAAATTCTTATCACAGATTTTGCAGAAGTTTTCCAGGAAGTTTTTTGGCGCTTCAAAAACTCTGGCCACCTTTTCATCTGCTCCAGTAGCAAACTTATATCTTGTGATCATAGTTAGACATTGTAAATCGTAACCATGGACTTGCGGTCTCGCTATTTCATACCATTTTACCTACAATCATTTTCATTGGCTTGTTATTTACGCAATTTTCGACACTTGTTTTGAGCTGACATTTAGATAGCTATCAAAATTGAAATGAATGGAGTTTTACGTCCTACTGTTCTGCACCTGATTTGGCTGATGAAGACAGGCAACACCATGTAGTGTGCAATGAGGGAAATTTTGCCAGGACAGCAGCATTAGCCTGCTCTTTTTTCAATTTCCAACTGTCGAGGGATCTTTAACGAGTACAGTCTGTAGCTCACAGGGCCTGTATCCATTAGCACTTTTCAATGTCAGTCATCAAACACTTAGTTTTAGTGGAATTGCTAGAACCACAGACGTCTGATTGAAAATTAGAATGATGTAAATTGATGCTATCAATGTCTCTGATACACATAAAAAATATAGAAAACCTCTTTACAATCTCTTTAACAAGAAACACAGACGTCTGATTGAAAATTAGAATGATGTAAATTGATGCTATCAGTGTCCCTGATACACATAGGATTTTGGACCGTAAAGTCAATCTACTTACCGGTCTGTTGCTATGGACCCAAGGAGCATGTAGTCTGGTGGTTTGATCAGCACTGGTTGACAACAGAAACTCTCCTTCACTACGATCCCAATCTATATCTTCAACACTCTCAAAATGACCGCCACCAGTGACAGACGGATTCCATTGATTGGTTATCTAAATACAAATAAAAGGGTTTTAATACAAATCAAATTCAAAGACAATGGTCTATAGAATCTAGATCTTCAACATTTTCAAAATGGCCGCCACCAGTGACAGACGGATTCCATTGATTGGTTGTCTAAATACAAATAAAAGGGTTTTAATACAAATCAAATTCAAATGGTCTATAGAATCTAGATCTTCAACATTTTCAAAATGGCCGCCACCAGAGAAAGACATAAAGTATTGTATTGTCAATATCAAGAAAAATTCGTAGGGCCTCAACATTGTGAAGATGTATCTCAGAGAGTCCACAAAACTTATGAAGCTATTAAATGATGTCATGTAAAGATTCCAACACCATAACAGATTGCGCTACAACCCTCCTAACTGTATAAATATATTCTAAAACTTACCTTTTTAAAAGACCAAAGATTCAAACACCCTAACAGATTGCGCTACAACCCTCCTAACTGTATGAATATCTTCTAAAACTTACCTTATCAAAAGACCAAAGATTCCAACACCCTAACAGACCCGGCTACAACCCTCCTAACTGTATGAATATCTTTTGTAACTTACCTTTTCAAAAGACCAAAGATTCCAACACCCTAACAGACTGCACTACAACCCTCCTAACTGTATAAATATCTTCTAAAACTTACCTTTTTAAAAGACCAAAGATTCCAACACTCTAACAGATTGCGCTACAACCCTCCTAACTGTATAAATATCTTCTAAAACTTACCTTATCAAAAGACCAAAGATTCCAACAACCTAACAGACCCGGGTACAACCCTCCTAACTTACCTTATCAAAAGACCAATGATGAAAAGATTCCAACACCCTAACTTATTACGCTACAACCCTCCTTATAGTATAAATATATTCTAAAACCTACCTGATTTAAAGACCAATGATGAAAAGCGCCTTGATAGCCATGAGCTATGATTTTCAGGCCGTCAGGTGAAAACATTCCGCCGTAAAAACCTAACGTGTTACCGCCAACTTCTCCAACTCTCACCTAAAATATAATCATTACAATTAGGAGGGGATCTTCACTTAAAAGGACAGGTGCCCCATTTTTTGGCTTGGTTGATTTGTGTCTTGAATATATGTAAATAGTCTTCAGAAATACTAGAAATGTACGAAAATCACATAATTCCTTTAAAAATACAACGATACACTATACATGGTCCTTGGCTTGGTTGATTTTAGTCTTCAATATATGTAAATAGTCTTCAAAAGTACTAGAAATGTACGAAAATCGCATAATTCCTTTAAAAATACAACAATACACTATACATGGTCCTTGACTTGGTTGATTTGAGTCTTGAATATATGTAAATAGTCTTCAGAAATACTAGAAATGTACCAAAATCACATAATTCCTTTAAAAAAACAACAATACACTATACATGGTCCTTGGCTTGGTTGATTTGAGTCTTGAATATATGTAAATAGTCTTCAGAAATACTAGAAATGTATAAAAATCTCATAATTCCTTTAAAAATACAACGATACACTATACATGGTCCTTGGCTTGGTTGATTTGAGTCTTGAATGTATGTAAATAGTCTTCAGAAGTTCTAGAAATGTACAAAAATCTCATAATTCCTTTAAAAATATCTCAAACTAGGAATTTTACTGACTATTTCTATAGATGTCTTTTCTATATATCACAGAATATGGCAGAGTCTCAAGAAAAGCACAACAATGATGTAATCTAAGATTCGTGGTAAGGGTCTAACTCACTGACCAAAAATGCTAGTGAGACCAACGTTTAATTCTTATACTTATATTCAGATATTTTTATTTATACAATTTTCACTGTTTTATATGATCAGTTATTTGAATTTACCACAAATCTTAGATTGCGTCATTGTTGCGTTTTCAAACATTCTTACCTTTTCTACCCAAACATTAGATTCTGTCTCCGGCTGCCATAGGATCATCGTTTTATCCATTGATGCCGAGAGTAAACTCATAGCTTGTTTATAATCACCATTTTCTAAATCAAAAATTACGATATAATCTTAAAAACTTAGATACGAACATCAAAACGAAACCCAATACGACATTTTGGCAAAACATTGGTAGCAGCTAATGACTTTTTCACATGAGGAAGTATATCAATTATAAAATGAAAAAGTAATTCAGGTGTCTAGAGGAGTAATCAAAGGATAACAACTTAGGTTCACGAGGATCCTTTCTACCAGCTGATCCTTGACCAAACCTCTTGGTATTGATTTTACAAGGATAACAACTTAGGTTCACGAGGATCCTTTCTACCAGCTGATCCTTGGTCAAACCTCTTGGTAATGATTTTACAAGGATAACAACTTAGGTTCACAAGGATCCTTTCTACCAGCTGGTCCTTGGTCAAACCTCTTGGTAATGATCTTACAAGGATAACAACTTAGGTTCACGAGGATCCTTTCTACCAGCTGATCCTTGGTCAAACCTTCTTGGTATTGATATTACAAGGATAACAACTTAGGTTCACGAGGATCCTTTCTACCAGCTGATCAT